TCTCAGCCCCGAGTTTCGACGCAGCTGCGACAAGACTGGAAGTCAGCCCACAAGACATGCAACACGGACACCCGGAATAATAATTACGACACGCATCACACGCGTGCCTGACGTAAGACAAAAATTAACACCTTTGTGGTTAATATCAAAATGTCGTGAGGACGGAAGGACAATTCATACGGAACGTTCCAAAATTATCGTTTTATAGCCTGCGGAATTACAAGCAACGTAAAAGAAAATAATAAAAACGATATAAAATAGTTACAAGTCCCAGATCGGGTCTCACACGAACTAAAAACAAAGATTAACAATTCTTTCACGTCCTAACCTTATCCAACTTGAATCGAGTGGATTTTTTAAAAAGATCGCGAGTAATGAAAGTGCCTGAAAATCCAACTGGAGTAACCAAAAGATGATAATATTAAAGTCGGAGCCCACTAAGGGCCCCAGTACTCGTCTAATCAACTACGATAAGAAATGTCTTGTCCCATTTCAAAACAACTGTTCCGCGTTGCATAACGCCAATGAACCACGAGTCACGCATATTGTTGAAACTATACGCGTCCTCAGAAGCTAGCAGTTGCTCAGCTAGTCAAGAAATTCAAAGCCTAAGGTTCATGTTCACAAGACTCCGCCACTGAGGAAATGCAATTCCGACGAGCCTCAACTCCACCCAGAGAGATGACGTAACGAAATGAAGCAGACATCTCGGTGCCCTATATCCCTCCCCTCCACCGATAACGCGATTCATCAGATGATCTAGTTACAGGCTCTGGTCTTGTTGGTCACATATCCAGCAACCTTCAGCGTATATAAAAAAGGAAGTATTTGTCGAAATAATTACAACAAAGCAACTTTCCAACTGCGTGCCATTCTGTGTTGACCTTTGGTTCATTTATTACTGACATAAATCGCTCAGAGTACGTAAAGCCGACATTCTGGATGATTAGTAAAACATTTACGAGCAGGCAGAAGACGTACGTGGGCCTACTATTGCAGCTCTTGTCTGGAGGGACTGAGATAAACCACGAAACACTTCGGTCAGTACTGCTGGTCTTTGGGCCGAGACCCAGTGTCCAGGACCTCCCAAATACGAGGCTGGATTGGTTACCAATCGACGACGTGAAGAGAAAATCTTCGAGGATGGGGTCACAACATGTTTCTTCTTTTTTTTAGTGTGCAATCACATTAATTTAAATAATTAGCAGAACATTTGGCTGAATTTTCGGAATTCCTTTACCATAAAGACAATGCACACGATACTAAGGGAGAGTGAGAGAGAGAGGATCACTTTACTTGTTTTTTTTTGTATGGGTTTGAATTTGGTCTCCAACGTTAACAAGAAATGCAGCTTGAGGGTGTTTGAGAATAATGTGTTGACGAGAACATCTGTACGTACTAAGGATGAAATAAGATGAGGCTGAAGAAAACTGCATAATAATTTCTAGTCCTCACTAACAATTATTAGTATTATCAAATCAAGACAGGCAGGAACCATAGTGCATATGGGGGAGATGAGAAATGTGTACAAAATTTTGGTTGAAAAATGTGAGGGCAAGAGACAACTCCAAATACATAAGCACAGTTGATCGTAGAGCCCTATCCATTTATCTTGGGATACAGACTTGAATGTTTACCTCCTTACTATTCCAATATACCCACCAGTAAATTCAGGTTTATTTATGGCTACTACCCACAATGTAAAACACTATAGCTATGAAAGATCTATAGAATACAATAATTTCTATTCTATTCTAAAAAAACACAGTAATTCAAGTACTAATCATTTGCAATAAAACACTTGACAATTTCCCAAAATAACGGATACACTACTTCACAGTATTTGAGGCTTTCACGGTCGTGAAAATCAACGTTTCGATGGAACCTATCAACTAAATCTTCAGGTTCATTGCCATCCACAAAACTACATGTAACACAGAACATCACAATCCCCAACTTTACATGAAGGTATACCTTTACAATATGATGACAACTTAACTTGGGAAAGTCTAATACATTCGCACTCTTTTATCAGGTAGCAAATATAGGTACACATGTTCAGTCTCGTTGTATGGACAAACCTAACCTTACGACCTCCTTCACTTACAAAACTGACAATACAATTTACAAGTAGCAACATGAAATCATACAATGACATACCTTTCCGTCTCCCATAAGGGCCAGAAAATGTTGTGTTCTTTCCGATAACGTAGTCATCGATATACTTTATCAGTTTTGCAGCGTCTTCATTCTTTTTGGTACCATACCCTGCACGAACTTTCGTTCCTCTCAAGGGATATTCGTCTGGAAGAGCATAAAATTTCCTATTACCGTATGTTTTCTTTGTAGTCATTCTTTTGATGCACACACTCAACACATTTCTACTCAAAACACTTCCTCTGACAGAGTACGAAAACAACTGCGTCAGTAGCGGGTAATACAACACTTTTGTCATTCTTAAATTTCCACGAAGCGTATTTTAATCGTCAGATGGCAGGCAAATCGAACACCAAAGACCACAAGGACGAATATATTCCCATTTCAGTCCGTCATTATCCGGAGAATGTGCGCATAATTATAGAAAGAACACTAAATGCAAATTTCGAGATTAAATAAGGAATAGGCCATTGAAAATAATTACTCTGCAATCTACCAACTAAACTACATAGAAATATGAGAATTCAACTCCAAAGCCCAATACGAGAAAAGTCTTGGTTTCAGCAGTCATTACCCTCACGAACGATTCAAATATAAATTATTATAATGAATCTGAGGAATGTCTACTACAGATTCAATATCGGATACCAAAAATTACATAAACACTCAGTAAATGATGCATTCCGACCATCTATCAGCAAAATAATATAATATAATATAATGCAGAGAAAATGCAATTTCCAAAGTCCATAACAAGGAAAACGTCATATTCCCCGCCATGAATAACAAATCCTACACTTCATGAGCACTGCTAATGTAATTACCTTCAGAAACAAGGATGGATAATTAATCCTTCTGCCACCTACTAGCACAATTATATCCACATACGTACTACATATATGGACTGCAGGAGCTATAATTCTCACATGACCAAGTGTTATACAAAACTGATTCTTACGTACCCGCAAACTTCACCCTAGCAACCCGCTTGGCAACCAAACAGTCCATAAAAAATTCCAGATCTTTCACTGTCAAAAATGTTGATGTTACCTGAAGATCACAAGCAAGCAGCAGCTATTGAACGACGTCGCAAATTTGAAGAAGAACGGAAACGCAGAATTTTTAATGATAGACAGAGACTCATTGGTGTAAGTACAATTACCTTCATTTCCTGGATGGATGCCAAGGCCTAGGTCTATAGAAAGGGTAGAAGTAATCTAGGCATACTACACATTCTGTCTGAGCCAGATTTCTTCCACGACTTCCATTTCAGAAAGACACAGTTATGCCCAAACTCACCTACCATTAGTGAAAAAAGTAACAGATAACATTTAAAATTAAAGTTACAAAATATTTGGTCAGTCAGTCAAAGAACCCTACCTGATGTTCACATCCAAAGATTCGCCAATTTTGAACACACCCAACTGGAAACTGCAACACAATACTGAAGAACTTGCACTCCCCAAGTGGTCAGCCAACTTCAACTGTAGAGAAATAACACAAATCTTCAATTTGTAAATTCAGGTCAATGTAACATGTCTGCCTCCAGTTCATTCTAATCTGGTACAAATTCCATGAAGCAGAAAGTTCATCAGGTAGTATAAATATACCTTGCCTTTTTATGGAACACAAAGGATCATTATCATCTTCACAGTCCCTGTACTGAACTAAAAGAATCCAGTCTTCACTGTCTCACTCCATTTCCACGCAATCTGTTTTGATAATATCTTCTCATAAACACTATGGTCTTCCAACTGGTCTCCTCCCATCAAATATAAAAAAATGTTTCTCAAGTTTTCCTCTTCAATTTCACAATCCTAATAATATTCATTGAAGAGAATAAAATGATCACAAAATTTTTTCCACCCTTATTTCCCCTTTCCGAGGCCCAATTATTCTCCTCACCTCCCCATTTTCAAACACCCTATATCTATGAGAGCTTTCAGAATTGCATGGTGACATGAAGATGGCTGCCTTGTGGGCTGCTGCACTGTCAGGTAGATACCGATCGATGTTTGAGAAGAAATACCGAAATATCACAAACATTACTCTCATACACGGTCACCTAATAAGCAGATTATAATAAATAGTTAAAATGTAGTGTTCAAAAAGAACACGTGATGTGCCATTTATGATCACTGCAACTATAATATTGGCACACGCATGACACTGATAATTCAAACAGTGGTGGAAACATGCTACAGTGAAATCCCCATTTAGTATTTTATTATGAAACAATGGATCTGATCATTAAAGTAATAAAAAAAGCTTTCTAGGTTACTACTACTGATGGGGATGCACAAATTATACTTTAAATTGACAAGCATTATGAGTACATGGGAATTCTACTACATATCATCCTAACTTCTTCATGACCATACTTGTATTCTTTCAATATGTGAAATATTCCATGGTTTTGGATGGACTAGTATCTCAGAATAACAAAGGTATCCCTGGCTTAATAATGGTTGGGAAGCAGGTTTAAAGCAGTTCAAAGTGCAGCAAGTTTGTAATCAACTAACTCAGTGTTAAGTGGATGCAGTCTTTTGTATAGAGTAATGCAATGATTGATTTGATTCACTGCAGATAGATCTCGCAGCATTGGAGCAACAAATTACAGAACAAAAAGCGAATGAAGAGGAGCAGCACAGGAAGGATGAATCATTTGAGGAACAATGTATTCGTGATGCTAAAATGGCACTTCTTTTTGAAAAGAAATTTGAAGAAGTAAGTAATACTTCTGATGTCACATTTACAATAAATTACTATTTATAGATATGATAGTGCTAGTAAAATGTTTTCATATTGTATGGACTTGCACCTGATGTGATCAAAGGTACAATTGTATTTCCTTCTATCCTAAAACCAATTCTTTAGTTTTTCTAACCATATTTCCACTCTCATTACTAAATGAACCCTTTACCTCTTGATCAAAACTGTGCTTTGTTTACTCCGCTAGTTACACAGTACTGAATGGTACAATGTCTGTGAATGATAAATTTGTATGTAGAAGAGTTGATTCAGGATTGGGCTTACGCTACTAACACTGCATTATTTCTAGGAGAAACGACGCATAAATGAAGATATTAATACATTTCGGGCCATTTACCAAAGACCCGAGAACAGGCTTGAATTTGATCTCTACGATCCAGATGGTCTTAAGAAAAGCCTTCCAGCCCGCTTATTGGATGACGATCCGCGTTGTGGACCGTCTTCTGCTCAAATGTACGTAACAGTTCAATTTGCTGATATCAATCAATATAAAACACAGACATTCCAACTGCATGTCCTTACAATAAATCACAGATACAAATATTGCTTTCCTACACTTTTGTGACTCTATTTACAAGTAATGCTCTACAATATTAGATGTACTTTGCTTTTAAGTACTTATCACATATAGGACTAATATCTCCTTAGGGCGAGTGTTACAAATGCTCCTTATGCCTCCACAGATGGTCGTTTCATGGTCTTTCAGTAGGACTCTACCAAAAGCATTTTTTCACCTTTGCAGAGGTTTGTAAAAAAGGGGACTCTATCATGGGAAAATTTAAAATGACCTCTGTCTGATATTCCCAAAATGTTAATTTCTGAATACTTTGAAAGAAACCTTTTTAAAGATTGTATAAAATTTCTTAAAAAGATGTGGTAATCTTCCTAAATCTTCTGAAGAGTAGGAATGCATTCCTTTCCATAAAAATACATGTACTTACAGATTTGCTGGCGAGGATCTGGCGAATGAAGACCGACGGAAGGCCCAGCGTGACCAGTACAGATCATGGCTAGAACAGCAAATAACAGAACGGAGAGCTGCGGACAGTGATAGGAAAGCCACACAGAAGGCATATGACAACGCACTGTTAGCAAGAGATAGACGTGCTTCTGAGCTGGAGAGAATGGAGCAGGATTGCCGACGACGGCTCAGTGAAGCTAATCTCAGGTTTAACAAGGCACTGGTAGGTTTCTAAGCATACAAAATATAATACTTTTTAAGCTGTTTGAAGGAATAATATAAAGTTAAAAAAAGTAAAGTAGTCTATTAAAGAATAATATATGAAACACAACTGCAGGTTTGATAAAAATGGCACCACTCAACTAATTCCATGGAAAATAGTCCTTCTGGACAATCTAGCAGTAGGTTAAATTAGATATAGGTAAAAGGTAAAGTTGTCCCTGGTACTTATTAAGCACCACAACCCAAAGTTATATGGGAAAGTGGAGCTCAAGAACAGCTGTTTATGGAATGTGTAGGTTCATTACCATGCTCACAACAGCCTAACACTGATCCTCTCCTCAGGTGAATCATCCAGCTCAAACTTCCACACCTTATCTCTTTAAAATACATTTTACATCCCATCTTTTGACAAGTTTCCAAAGTGCCTCCTTTATTATAGATTCTCAAACTGGAATTAAGTAGCATTTATCACCTCTATTGCAAGCTACGTACCTCACACATCTTAATTCCTGACAACATCTGAAGAGTATGATAATTTTCTTTTCTTAAAACTCTTCCACACATATAAAAATTTACTGGAAACTTTGGAAATAATCACCATATCAAAGACAGAAAACTGAATATAAACAAAATTACAAACGTGATTTTTTACAAAAGATTCAAGTATTGATTGGCTGGCCTTTACTGCATCCTTTCACCGCAAGGATAAAAAAACACATGATCATAAAAACCTTTTCAGACCTACTGATTGCATTTTTCTAGTCAATCTAACAAAATACATGAGCACTCACAGCATATGTATTTCTCAGACTGCCTTAAAGTGAATCTGAAGAATTTCACATCAGGCTTACAGTCATCACCCCAGAATTTAATCAAATTTACAGGACATACACTCCCCTCTATCCCCAGTAATGTAAAATCTTAAGTGTCATTCCATGTAGTAATAAGCTCTTAAGACAGCAAGCTGCTTTGCCTCCACTTCCCCCAACATACCTTTATGGAATGGTGCATAGGCACAGGACAACGTAAAACAGTATTAACTTCATCACAGGTAAGGATCAATGCAGGTCTGGTTACAATACAGCCTTCACCTTTCTGAATGTCAGCATGAAGGCACAGATTACAAGTGGTTCAAATGTCTGAACAGCTCGTCACACTGGAACAAATAACAGCACAACACAGTCTCAAGCGAAATATCTAATATATAAATTATGTCTCTTCAGGAATACATAATTCTCTTTTACAGGCAGAAGAGCAGGCTTTTCAACGCAGACGTGATGAAGCAAAAGATATGGAAGACAAACAGGCTGAAATATACAATCATCTAACAGGAGACATGCTCACAGAAAATTCAGATGTAGCAAACAGCAGCTTTGGTCCTAACCGCAAAATACAATACCTCTATAAAGGGATGACTCCTGAAGAGCGTAACAGTGTTCGCAAAGAACAACTTCTGCAAATTGCAGAAAATAAGGTTACTTTCCTATTTGATATACTTCCACATACATTTATCACTGTAAATTGACGCTAAGTGAGAAACATATTATCTGAACTCCTAAAAGTAATCCTGGAAAACTAAGAAATAATTTATTTTGTTAATATACTTATTTTATTCTCAATACTAATGATGCAAAGCTTGAGTAAATCATTATAATCGTTCTTTCAGATATGAAGAACTTTTAATAAAAAATGTGTTTTGTGTGTACTTTAAATTTGACCTTGTTATAGCAGAACAGAAAATATTTAACAATATCATGTAAAAAAAACTTTCTTTGCCTGTTTATTATCAAGAACCCAATTATCCCCACACATTTAAAGTTATGGAAATAGAGATCACATTCCTCGAGTTCACTTCTCTTTAATCTTCCAAATAAACATACACATTTTTAGTGTATTGAACGATAAAGATTTAGAATATAACAAAAACACCCACATATTTTTGTATCAGAACATTGGTCACTGATTTAAGACGGGGGGGGGTAGTATCTGCAAATATGGTAGTGGGTAACGTGAGATTGAAGGCACAAAAACTTATCACCCTAAGAAAAACAGAAATATTCAGGACCACGTAGAAATTCAATACTCTTTCTGCCAGTACTTGTGAAGTTGCCTTCCCTGACTCATTATAACTATAAACATAAAATTACAAACCACTTATTTTCATACAGGCCAAATATGCAGCAGAAGCACAACTAGAAGCAGAATGGCAAGAGTTGATAGGGGGAACAGATCGACACGCTGTTCTTAAGGACCGAGAGCTTAGGAGGAAGCAGAGGTAAGAAACAAGGTACAATAACAATAATGAAATTACAGTCTTTCATAATTAATATTTTATTCCACAAACAAATATGATGTGAAGTCTAATTTGTTCCAGAGAGCTGAATAAACAAATTTTGGAGCAGAACAAACAATTGTCCAAAGAACAGACAAGAAATCGGGAACGCGCGGAACATGTCATCTTCACAAATGTACCTACTGCAGCATATTATGACCAGTTTAACACCATAACCAGATAAAAACTAATTCAAAAACAGAAATTTAATATTAAGCATACCTGAAATTCATCTAAACACCTGAAAAATTGGTTTTATATTTGACACTTTCTTTAGCGGGTATCATATTCTGCCCTAAAAATTTTCTAACAAACTTTAACCTTACATAAAGGATACATTTGCATATAACACAATAAATTGTTTATATAAAGTTTGGCACATGTGGGGCAATTTGATATAAATTTATAAGGAAGCACTAGTTTTAAGTCATATCAACGGCAATGGGCTAGGTCAGGAGAGACATACCATATCCTAGAAGGTATATGTGCAGTTATATTGCAAATGTAAATCAAAGTAATGGATTAGCCCAACAATCCAGTATTACTGGTACTCTGTCCCTTTATGGATATGTTACTTAACATTGCATGATGAATTATTAGTATCATTCTGAAATTAGGCCTACATCATGAAGATTCTGAATAGAATCTGCGATAATTCGTGCCGTTTTCTTCAGATACCCTCCACTGGTTAGCATCACAATTGGAACTCTTCGTTCACGAGCCTTCATAAAAACTAGTTCATCCCTTCGTATTATACCCTATAAATAAGAAAAGACTATGCCACTGCTAAAATACATCAAATTTATACGCTTCAATATATTATACATTAACACTTCTACAAAACTTAATTTTTATGCAATGATGCAAATGGCATTTTTAATTTATAAATTTCACTATGATAACACAATCAGTGACACAAACAGCACTTCACCTGGGCTCATGACTACAAGGCACGGCACAAATTACTTGTAACAATTTTTTGTAAAATGGTACACACTGTTAAGCTAAAGGGAGAGAACCTAATTCCTTACAATTTTTATCACTTTACTTATGCATGGTGTACAGTCAGCTGGACAATAAAGATGCACTTCAGTTGTATAAGAATGTTACAGAGTATTGAGACATTGTTTGTTAATAAGTTGTATGCATTAATTAATTTCAATGTGGGTCATTAATTAAGGTAAGTTCCTGAAACAGAGATATCCCTATCAAAACTGAACATTAAAATCTATAATAAAAAATACTGAACCAGAAAATAAAATGAATAAAAGCACAAGATTGCTAAAACACGTAAAAAGATGGATTTCTTAACAAGCAGTGACTGAGACTTGAATGCAGATGAAGGAATATAGTGTGTTACAAAGACAGAAAGAAATGATATATTAAGCAGACATAAGCAAGCCTGATAAAGCACATGAACAAACAGGATGTACCGAAGTCAAAGAACAGAGTTAAGAAAACAACACAACCACAAGTTGCGACCGTTGAAGACAATTAAGCAGCGTATTCTGATACAGCAGAAAGTAGACACTATAGTGGACAGTAGCAGAAGCACACTGCGGACCAACCTTGCTATTCAAAAACCATTTCTAGCATGCTAAGTATTTAATCATATCGCATGAACCATGTCAATCAAGGGACCCATTTCCAAACAGTAATGAAGAAGAGTGATATTAATACAAATTTAATCTAGCTAAAAATTATATAATTCCAGCTATACCATACTAGACAAAGCACATATACTTTCTATAGTGGAAGAAAAAATCCCCACAGTCAAAAAAAAGGTTATGAAATGTTTAAAAGGATTTGCATATTACTAGCTTCTCAAGAAGAACTCTGCTCCATGGTATTAGTTTCACTAGTCTGAAGTGCTTAATGACATTATTATCACATATGAAGCCATATGCATTTTCTCATGTCTATGATGAAGACAATATAATGTGAAGGAGAAAATGTTAACAGTAAATAATAATCAGAATTTCTTCAGCTCTTCTAGTCTAACTACTGGAATTTATATCTTGCTACAATAATAATCACTACAAGAAAACACATCAGCAAAAGAAATCACCAAACTTATTTTCATTTAAAATCCTGTGACTAAAAACGTTCAGACATATTCACAACAAGTAAACTTGTCCTGATGATTCCAGTGACTTGCCCTGAATGTTCATTCTCTAAGCACAAATGAAAAATGAAGTACCTTTAGTGTGTGATGATACAATATTGACTCAATTATTTCACACATCCACACAGTTTCCTTACCTGTGCAGAAATTGCCAGAAGTCCCAGACTGTCACCATCTAACACATCAGTTCCAGCATTGTACACTAGTATATCAGGATGAAACTCTCGCAAAGATTCTTCCAAATTCCTAACAAAATAAAATGCATACATATACAGTACTTCCTTACTCACATCACAGAACTGAACAATCAATTTGTAAGACAAAAATACATACAGCAAAAAAAGAAATTCTCTTAAAACCAAGTAAAGATTTTGGTCCAGAAGTAAACACACAAATACCTAAGCACATGTTCATGTCTTCTCTACATGGTGTCATAAGTCACGAGACCATATTCTGTAACTAAATTGTGTGTAAATATCACATCCAAGTGAAGAAATTTCAAACCATTACTTAAGCATATCTACTCTTAACTTTAGTTAATGCATTTGCATACTTCACTACACGTCTTTCATGTACTGAGCCATAATGAGAAATATTATGAAATTTGGTTTCAGAATTAAACATATTTTACGAGAGCATCAGTACATTCCTTCTTCAGTGAGAGAAATAACCACTTACTCTTCCACCTTATGTAGATATTCATTATCTTCAGTGAAGTGCCGGAGTTCAACGCAGCGTCTAATTGCAGCTTTGGCACATTTGTCTCGTGGATAAATTCCACAGTTATACATATCAAAGATATATACGTTGGAATGGTTTGTGAAGTCCCGTTCATAGCCATTCCCCTATATATAAAAAACAAGTAGTACAAATCAAGAATGTCACAGAGACATAACTTTCACGGGTCAAAGAAATGACGGGCAAATTCTCAAAAGTTCATCATGAATAATCAGGATTTCACAAAGGTCCTGTTAAGTTCAGGCACTGCTCACTACCGTACAGTTGGCGTAAAAGTAAACAAAAAAAAATTTATGTGGGGAATTTTTTGATTACCTGAGGAACAATTAGTCTTGAGAACTCTTTTCCATTAAATTAATTACTTGTACACACCTCTTTTATCACTTACCTGTAATAATAACTTTACTCTCTCACAGAACTGTAAATGTGTTATAGAGGGACGAGTACATTTCCTTGTCATCAATTATGCGTTGGAATTATAAACTAACCTGATGAGCATCCAGATCAACAATCATGGCAGATTTCACACGATGATGTTCATACTCAAACAGAAACTGTACAAGGAGAGTAATATCTGCATATGGACAGAAGCCTCCACCTTTGTCTCTGCTACAGTGATGAAACCCTCCCCCCAGGTTGATAGCCCATCCTCGTTCAAGAGCCAACTTCCCCGCCAGTATACTTCCTCCAGTTTGAAATCTATTTTTAAACACAATTTCAATCTTCCTTGTAATGTGCTTACATAGATCCACGGGCCCAAAAGTTAGTCAGACTGACTATATGATTTGGAATAAGTCATAAGTACAAAATATTTGTATATTTAATTCTTACTTCCTACCTCATTGGGCGTAAATAACTTGCTTGAACTAAAAAATTTGGCACCAACATAAGAGGTGGAATTTCTGCAATGAGGGCAACATTCCAACTCCACTGGAAAAAAAAGAGCTTAGGATGGTAACTAATTGCAACACTTAAAAATGTAGAAAATGTGCTCCTGAAAAAAAAAATTCATAAACAAAGATCCAAATGGTTAAACATCTACAAATATTTGTTCATGTAAAAATGTATACAGTTACATGAAATATTACGTTATCATTCTCAGGAGATCCCGTCTCAACCATATCTACGCCATCATCCATCATGTTGTCTTACTGACCACATAATTGCATTTCAGAACTCAAATAACATAAATGAGAAAGTGGTACATAACCTTCATGCACTATAAATTTAAAACAAGTGAGTGAGGAATTGGCTACATGTTTTCAAGCATCTCAACACTTCTTACCTTTAAACTTTTCAAGTAACGTGCAGTATGCACAAGAAGTAAATCCTGATGCTGAACTTCATTTGGCTTTATGACAGTATTTTCATTTACAAGATTTGCATCCTTCAGGTACTGTAAAATAAACAACTTAATATGGACAATATATAAATGAACAGCACACACTTAAGATGTCAACATATGTGTTGTGTGATAAGTGTGTGTAGAGACACCAATAAAAAAAACCAGCACAGTGAAATTTGTGCTTTCAAAGCAATAATGTAAAAAAAATGTTCCGACATAATAACCAAATTTCACTGTGAATGTACCATAACTGTGAAGTCACATGTAGTTTTACTTATTCTTGTTTATAACAATATTTTTTTCTGATAGGAAATTTATGCCTTATAACTCTGCTTCATTACGTTTTGGTGATATATGTACCATAAATAACATTTCTGCATCTGGTTAAAGAGTTCTAACCATAGAAGTGACATTTTCAAAATGAACACAGCAGTTTGTAAGTATACAACTAAAACGATGTTGAACAGAGGAGTATTCTTATGAACTTATGATGAAATCATTTTGAATCATATTTGAAATAAGGTGGAAGATACGGATTAAGACGATGTTTCCACTTTACATGGGTTGTCTGACAACCAAGCCTCTTTGTCTTCTCACAGTTCCCTCTCCTAAATTCCTTTCCAAGGCCTTTGTTCCCTGTGTGATATATTTCCCAACTTCTTGTTCCCATCTTTTATCAGTCTTCCTCCTGCGCCTTTTCCTTTTCTACCATACTTAAAACAAGTTTACACCACTTCAATATATTGTTAGTTTGTCATCCAAGGCATGTAATATCATATTCTCTCAAGTTCTTTTATTTTCTATTCTGTCTTTCAGTCTCTCATTCCACAATACTTCCAAATGTCATCTCTATATTCAGAAATCTACTAGCACCTGCCTGTACACATATTTCATATGAAAACAAGTATTCTTGATACATAACCTCTCCCACTCATAAATAACATCAAGTAATAAATAATTACACAGAAAATAATTTTTAGCCTCTTTCGCTGACTGACAAAATGAGGAGGTATGGGTCTGTGCACTGATGACTTGATTGCACCTGCTAACCTGTGTCAGCAAACACGAGCATTTTTAATACATAACCTTCATCATAATTATACAACATACCTGAAAAATATGTCCCCACTTTGCTGCATCAAATGGATGGAGCTTCTCAATGCCACCGAAATGAACATTGTATTCTTCTCGATAAATTATTGGCAACTGGTGGGGCTCTGAACTTACATAAATCTGTGAAATATGGTGTTCCCTTAAAACAAAAAGTTAACTGATAAATATCTTTAGAACATTCATCAATATACACATACTAAATTACAAAAGGTTTACTGAGGAAATCTCCACAGTAAACTAGTAAACAAAGGCCTTAAAACAAACAAACTACAAAACATTATAAAACATACACATGTTTTATTAATGTTAAAGTCTGACAACTTAATCTTTACTATAATCAACACAAGATCAATTCAGAACCATTGTAGAGGAAAAAAATAAGGGCATGAAATGGTCCTAACCTTTTAAAAACGTTACATCATCCCCTAGGAAGAAAAACAGAAATCTGAAACTTTGAAGACTACAATGCATGTGATAGCATAATAAAACATCCATCACATCAGAACTTTCCACTTACATCACCAAGTATGTTGCATCAAGCTGTAATGTGTCTTACTTGAAACTTGGTGATACCCGATTGAAATCTTATCAGAGACAAGGGATATGCAGAGGTGTTTTGTGGTTTTTCTCAGTCCCTCTGGCCAAATGCCCCTGTAGTAACTTTAAACAGGGCATGACCACTTCATTCATATTCATGTCAACAAAATGTGAGTCTTCTCACACAATCTGACATTAAATAAGTATTGCTGTTGATACAGAATCATTAAATAACCTACTCTTTGTCCTCCTCCATCATGCTTCTTACTGCTAGTCGCAAATGCTAATGCATGCAAATGAATTTCTAATCTGTAAGATTTTCACACTTCAATGGCTACGATGCCATCCAACAGGCATGTAGAGAATGTACAAGTCTTATCCTGTTTATTTTCTCTTTCACAACAATTTAAATGCATGTGGATATGGATTTATGAATAAAACTTTTTTAGACTAGGAGAATCTGAAGTGCCATCATGTTCTGCATTTTAAATATGGGATCACATGACAACTCACAGTCCAGGCTACATAGGTATTGTAAACCACTACTGAACTACACTTATAAAAAGTACAACTTACCCAGTATTTGACACACGTTTCTTACACCACCCACCCATCAGCAGGCCAGAGGCAAAAAACTTGGTTTTTAACTCGACATCTGCCCAAATTCCTTAATTTAACACAGGTCACAGATGCAACTACAATTACTTGACAAGACTTCTGCAAGTAAGAAAACATTTTTTACAATATATAAAAAATTAGAATTCAGATGTAAACCAAAGTAATATATCTGTTTGGTAGGATTCGACGTTTTCATGGCGGTGTGTATCTGCCTCCATTATCATGACGATAGCGGAACCTAGTACCTTTAAAATATCGTAAACTTCTACTAGACCACACGGCGGTACAATGCAGCCATCTTCATAGTTCAATAATAAGACACACACATAATTCATTTACTTTTCTTAAACACAGTCTAATATGTTATTTACATAGATTCTGTAACATCAAATAGTAGTGATCTATGAAATGTTCCGTCTCGGCATTTGTTTGGAGGAACTGGAAAGAACCACAGAACATAATCAAGGTTACCTGCAAACAGAGAGACATAATCAAGCAAATTAGTAGGGCATAAAGTTCTAGATTTCCATTTAGAGGCATCTGGTTTGAACATTGCACAGAGTATTAGCTATCATGATAAGATTCCTATTCTCGTCAGTCTGTAGGTATGTTGTGACAGCATATTGAAATAGGTCATGACAGCCTCCTTCTATTCCATAGTTATTCACCTTTCTCTATTATCATTTCTTAGTTGATTCTTATTCTTCATTTTAATGTTATATTCTTGTAGCCAATATTTAGAATTTTTAATATCCTTACTGTATTAGTTATATATTCAATATCAGTGTAGGCTTTAGTTATTCTACTGAATAAATAAATGAATGATCAATTCTGGTAACTTTTTGACGTTGAAATCTGAATGTGTATGTGATAGAGAGTAAGCAGATTATGAAGCAAGGATTAATAAATTAAATATGACTTCAAAACCTACACTAATTGCGAATATATATAATTGTAACAACCACAGTCTTCATCATGCTTAAAACCCATACAGTTCAAAACATTTGGCCAATTTGTTAAGGGAGAAATTTGTCAAACATTTCTGTAATTCATGGGTCACGTTTTGTATTGGTCGTAGGCCCAACCTCTTATATATGGGCTCAAGTACTCCAGCTCATGTTTCCACCTTCCTTCTGCTAAAATTTTAGCTTTCGGTATTTCCGAAAATGTGCTACTTAATATGTAAAATATGTCATAAAATATCCATACATTTTGTACAATAGGGCTATTTACACGCACTAAATACAGGCGTAACCACTAGCCTCATATTTGCATTCATAAAAAATATATTTCTGTATATATTAATCTCTCAGTTTGAAATGATGACACACACGGTTATTTTTTTAGATTATTATTATCTATCAAAAATGTAAAACAGACCACACTGACAGTAGCCTTTCTTTGTGGCCTCGCCCTGTACCATTTAATATGTAGTTCCAGATGAACTGTTAGAGCCAAGTGGTAGGAACGTATTAGGATATATTTACTCGTTCCTATAACTTAACATATGTTTCTAGTGTAAGAAATCTAATATAAATATGTAGAATTTTTAAAGTATTATAGAAGATGCCTAGAAGTTTTGATGTTTCGTTTTCTCCGAAGAGAGGTTATGTATCTACGATAGGCCTAATTATAGTATTCGATGAATGATGTTTACGGTACATTTATGTGGATTTATGGTGCTTCAAAAATTGTTCTAGGTATATTTGATTTGATTTTATATAGTGATAATTACGAGGGGAATATATGATAGGCGTCAGTAATAATATTGAATGTTTGTGAAGTTACTGACACAATAAGAAGGAATAAAATGTGCTGACCACGTATATTTGGCATTGAGTTTAAGGTTTATTTACAGGTATTAGATCTAATATAAACAATTGTTGTCTGTCCACATCTCATTTACACTGGCTGCTTGTGTATAGTTTATATGTAACAATAATATGGTATTGTAGTGCCAAGGTTAAGTACATTATTGGTCTTTCAGTTCATTGCTAAGGTTCCCATTCCAATGATTTGTGTACAGAAAGTAATGTGTATCTTTCATTACAGCAGATGAAATGAAGCCCTCATTTGTTTCTTAATGGAGGCTAAGAATCTAATCATCAGCAAGGAAGCCCCTTCAGCTTCAAATGCATTTCAATATGCAAAATCTGAGTAAGATACCTGTACATTTGGAATTTGAGCTGTATCATATGCCTGAACAAGACTGTATGTTTTTTGTTATGGTCCAGAATGTAATCAGATTGTAGTCTTTGCACTGTGTAATCTTGTAGGTGACTATCATAATTGTAAAGGAATCTGTTGTCTTCATGATAAGGATCAAAGTGAATGTTGGTAACCACCAAATAGTTGTTATAACCCAGAAGACCATGAATTCTAATTATTGTGAAAATCTTATATCTGAATATACTGTAAAACATTAACTCTTTATGATTTCAATGGGTGAAGTGCTGGGTCTTTGTTTACTGAATAATGTTTCTACATTTATTACAGCTTTTTAATGTAACATTAGCAATGGTTTAATGTTGTAACATTGCATCATTTTGTTGTGTACAACAATATTAAAAATTTGATCCTTATGTAAATAATCCTTCACTTAATTTTTAAAATGTTCTAATGTAATATTCTTTGTTTTTATAACAGTTTGTTGCCCCCATTATTACTTGAATATGAGACATTTGTTGCTGCTCTACAAGACCAAGTTGATTTTTATAAGGTAAGATTCGTTAAATATGTTGGCATTCTACATTAACATCACACCCTATCCAGACCAGCTGTGGGCTTACCTTGCCTCCTGCATTTCCCTGGTGCTGAAGTGTGAAGCCAACCTCCCAGCTCAGTAAATGCAGGGTTAAGAATATATGAATCTTTACTTCGACACCCTCAAGTAGTTAGTACATAATTACCAGTTTCTATGCAAATAATGGTGTGTAATTTGAGTATGTTATGAGTTTTGAATCCATCTCCCATATGGGCTAATATTTTGAGGTTATGATTGAAATGTTAAATTTTGTAACATCACAAATATTCAATTCAATTCTTTATTATTATATTCTTCATAATGTTAAGATATATATATATACATATATTTGTTGAATATAGATACAAATGTGTTTTATCATGTAGTTATTTATAATATAATTAAGAAGCCGATAATTACTTGGATTCTATGGCTTAAGTGTATTTTTTCTGAATGCTTGAAAAATTTGTAATGCAGGATATCTGCAGTAGTTAATATAGGCTAATAAAACCTATATAATGTAAAAATTAATTTTCTGCTTGCCACATATTGATAGGTTAGATAATTCAAGGACAAGTTGGAAAGGACCTGTAGTTTATGGGGAAGTATGCTAGAAAGTGGCAACTTGGAGGACAAAGCAGGTGTTGAATGTTATAAAAGTAGACAGTGAGGTTGTGAACTGGCTCTGGATATTATTTAGTTTCATGGCTGTGTTAATGATGTTCAAATTGATGGTTATTATTATGAGTTATGAAGACATTTTATTGAAAAGCTTTTACTCTAACACTTCTACAAACATTAATTTAGTACTACACCAAGTTATCAACTAGACTCATTTTAAACATGTGGCTGCTTTACCCCTGCCCATGAAATGATGCAAGTAAAAAGACTGGAAGCCACTAGTCCATGGTAATGATTTATAGTACTCATATACTTCTTGTGTTTGAATACCTCCAGACAGAGCATACTACACTGCGCAAAGACCTACTGGAACTTGTTACTGAGAACAGATGTTTATCAGACAAATTGAAAGATGTAATGAGTACCAAGATCACAGCAGAGTCTACTGTATCACCATATCACAAGAAAAAATCTGACATGTTAAGTAATCTTCAACAGCAACTCTGCTTGACAGCTCATGTATGTAGCAACACACATGATAAAGGGGAGTCTTTGTTTTTCATTTATTCCCCCCCCCCTTTCTGTTATTTCTTATACACAAAATTAATTATATGTATTGAGCATATATGTTTGTTGTAATTTTAACAGCAGGAAGAGGGTTAATGTATATTTAACTTAATAAACACATTTTATTATGTTCATGAACTGGATGACATGGTCTGAAAATATCATGTTATATTTCCAGTATAAAACTTTATCACAATCTGAGATTTCTGGTTTTCATGGTGGTGAGGGTGATTATCTTTTGGGGTTCGGTGCTGTGTTAACTCATCAGTAATGTCAGTGTTATGGAGAAACATGCTGTCTCTAGCTTCAGGGCTGAATTGCAATCTGCTTATGGACGGCAACACTGATACAAATGACACTGCATCCCATAAAACCATCTACTTATACTGCATACAAGAATGTGTCAGTAAAGTCTCTTCTGTTTTTGATAATCATGTTCGAAGGAAAAGGACTCGGCTGTGGAAATGTGGCACATGGCATTACGGGAAGTAGAAAATCTAGAGGAGGGTCTTAAATCTTACCAGGACAACAGGCATGTGGATTTAGCTCAGAAAAAGATAGAGGATGTAAGTTTGGTTCTGTGACTAATTTTATAGTTTAAGTTTTAATACATATGAACTCAGTTTGCTGGTATGTTGAATAATTAGTGCAAAAATAGTAAGTTCTTAAGTTTTCACTGTACAGATGAAGCAGGATTTCTCAAATGCCATAACAATGTTGGAGTTTAAACTTGCAACAGCAAGAAGTAGTCTGGCAAAAGAGAAGGAAACACAAGAAGAAATACAGAAACGACTGGATGAGAGTCTACAGGAAAATTCAACTCTAACGTTAACTTTGAAGTCCAGACAGCAGGAGCTAGAACAGGCATTGCAAGGTAATAAATACACCATATTATCCTAGGTCATAATCATTACCATCATTCAAACATGTTCCCACTGTCAAAGTTCATTATTTTTCAAAGGAGTTTCAACACTCATCCTTGGTCGTGGATTATCCTCAAACAGCTTGAACTTTATTCTTGGTATTTAACTTATCCAAACGAATTTACATACCATAATTTGGGGACCAATGACATAGACTGTATGCCGTTACGCTGTGTAGAATTGTAACATACATTCATGAACTGCACTTTACTTACAATGATTCAGTAAGATCTTTTTAAAATCTATAATAATTTACCTTGTTGTAATTTATTATTACCATGAGTAAATACAAAAGTTGCAGTTGAAGGAGGTATTCATTGTGATTTATTTCTTGTTCAGGACAGTGTGCAACTGCAATAAAACTGCAAGAAATAGAGAAGAAGGCAGTGGAATTTCAGGAACAAGTGGAGAGTATTAAGAAATCAGAGACTGATTTGGAATTAGCTTTGGCACGCTGTCATGAACAGAGAGCTGAGCTACTTCAAAAAAACTTGGATGCTCGTGAGAAAGTCAGTGAATCACTGCACTTAGTAGAGTGTGCAGTGGCGGAGAAAAATGCCGCACTATTTAGTGAAGCTCAGACTAAAGGTAAGACCATATAATATAGGATTAAAATGTCAATGATCAGTACACAATTTTCTTTTCTATTCAGGATTGTAACAATTATTTTATTACATTTCAGAAAAGTAAGAAGAAAACAAACAATTCACACTTGTAAAGAACCATATACACTGTTTAGAGTAATTGTTAAAATTATTTAGCCTTTAACATGATCCTAACATCAAAATCCAAAACTAAAAATTGCCTGACTACATTTTTCTGTGATGGTTGATTTATATGTAATTTCCACACATATTTGTATTTAAATACCAGTTAGCTGATTTTGTTACCAAAAGGTTGCTTTTGCAGAGTATGAAAGCATAAAGATTTTTCTGTTTGAAAATTTAATACTTTTACAGATGAAAATGTTCAGCTTCAGAAGATGATGGCAAGCATTGTTGACGAAGCAGGTGCAAGAGTGAAAGAAGAAGTTGAATATATAAAACAGCAATATAATAAAAAGCTTGAAGTTTTGTTACATGACATGAAAAAGTTAGATGATGTACGTATAATCAATAACATTGACCATCCACAATTATTTTTTTAACTCCCAGTGTTGAATCATGAACGTCTCACGATGTCATTGCATTTATATTCTCTTGGTTATAATGGGAGAGCTTAGTGTCATAGATGAAGGAAGGTTTAATGCATATCTCCACCCCCCCAATTCATCAGATTCCCAATAACAGATTGTAGAATATGAGCAGCTCAGAAATCAGCTTTATCCCTGGCTGCCTTATCCCAGGAAAAAGCCCCAATACCTACTGGATATTCTGAAAATATTCAACACTGTGACACTCCTAAATCCACGAAAGTCAAAGTTAAGTTTGTATAAAAAGAAGTTATAAACAAAACTTAAAAGAGACCTGTAGACAGCGTATGTGTCTATGACCAGTCAGAAAGGATTTAATGCTTCAGGTAGAGTCCAATGCCTGTTTTATATAAACATTTTTGTTGATAGGAGAATAATGAAAACAAGAAAATATTACAGAAAGAGATACAAGAAAAGCATGCACTGGAAAGAGAACTGGAAAAGATGCAGGTGGAATCACCACTTGCAACAAGCATATTGGAGAAGAAATTGGCTATGGCCTATGATGAGTTGTCAGGCCTTAAACGTCGCAACCTGCAGCTGGGTATTGAAAAAGAAAACTTGCATTCTGAAATAGAGAGAATGCAGGAGAGGTGAGATGCTGACGACATTGATTATACTAATAAGACTGGTTAAATGCAATGCATGTCAGAGCACACACAATTTCCATATGTATTCTTTGTGCCTTGGAATTCTGAATACTCCTAGCTGTTCCAAGTACTTCTGGTGAAAATATAAACATCTTATTCAATAACAGAAAATTGGAGCACACTGCAACCAAATATTTTAGTTTCCACAATTATTATTATTAAAAAGCATGCTGTACTGTTCATTTGTTTACCAAAAACATGAAAGTATGTGTCTGTGATGTTAATCTTTATAATTGAAATGACCCTACAAATTTTTGTGAGGACCTCCCTCTAATATGAAATATAATCAGAATCTGTCCAATCTGTTATTTCAGTTTAAACATAAGGACATAGAGATGTATACACAGACGTGGCATTCCCTGTTTTTGCACGTCTTACAAAGCATACATAATTGTACTCTACAGATTACGACACAAGACAGGATATGCTTACATTGCAGTACAATGCTCAATTTCAGCCATGCACTAGACACTCGAAAGATGAATATAGAATGTCACCTCATGGAAGAACAGATATTAGGCCTACAAGCACGGCTGGAAGCAGAAAATCATGCTAAGAGTAAGACAGGTGGACATGTAGAAAAACTGGTAGAACGAGCCCATTTCTTGGAACAAGAACTTGAACGACGACAGGGGCTACCGTAAGTGATGAATTAACTTTTTTATATTGTATATAAAGGTAAATAAAAGGAAAATCTCAATAAAACCTTCTGCAGGTGAGAGTTCAGGTTATCACAGTGACAAATATAAACGGCTTGTCTTCTGGAATGTAGCACCATGTAGTCTGATAGATAATGAGTGAAATTTCAGCTTATGTACTGTCTGTCAGTATCTACAAGTGTGTAACATCCCAGAAGGCAGCCACCTCAAAAACCTTCTGTACCTTCCACGATGTTTTAGCGTGATTGTCATTTTCAGAGACTGGCAGCAACAGCAGTACGGTCAGGAGCACGAGAAACAGATACAAGAAATTCAGAAGCAAAGCAGTGCAACAGCTAGCGAACTTGAACATCATCTTGAGAGACAGCAATTAATGAAAACCAAGTAATTAAATTTGACTTCACTGGCTGGTATTCAGACCATGGGAGACAGGAGCATGACATGAAGTAGTAATAAATAAGTCAGGACTGTATATTTATAATAGTAATTAGTCATTATCAATTATTTAGAGGAAAGTGACATCTTACAACTGCAGTACACCTCAAAATTTGTGTAAAGAACAAATTATCAAGTGCAATTACTGAACTCTGCCATACATTTTAATGTTTTATGGTGGAAAATAAATTATTTAGTGTCTCCTTATTAACCAAATGAAATAAGGTACACATATAACTAAAGAGGAAAGTGCCTTGTCAAGCTCATGCTGTTTCAGGTATCACAAGGAAATAAAGACCATGACTGAGAAGTTTCAAATGCGGTTACAAGAACTTCATTCCGAGTCAAATGCCCTCAGAAAGGAGAACAAAGTCTTGAAAAGTCACCTACGAACACTCCAACAAGAAGCAGCTGCTCATAAATCATCAGTGAATATGTAAATTATTACCAATATTTAAGAACACTCAGTAATTTGCATTACTATTTATTTTTGTACATTTATATTTCATTAATTCTCAGAAAATATGTTTATCTTTGATGCTGGCACATTTATTACTCTGGAGGTATGACCTCACTTGATACCCATGCACTGCTGAATGAAGGGTATGGAGTCATATGAAAGGTAATGTTTAGCAAAATATGTAAAACATGTCATTTTAAGGGAACATTGCCTCCTAAATGCAGGCCAACTTGAAGTTTTATTTTATATACTTAAAATTATATTAAATGTTTTTTTATGTGGTAGCTTCAAAAGTTCTGGGTCAGACAAGAAAACAGCCATCATAACAGGTAGGACGAAGCTGGCTGAAGGGATGTCACCTCATGGATGCAGCAGGAGTTCGAGTGAGACTATGTAGTAGTACGTCATACATGGTGGAGTCCAGAGATGTTTAACTACTGAAAGCCAATATTTTGAAGGCAACTCTGCGTAAGGGCTTCTTAAAGTGGTCAGATCTGAGACATGATTCCTGTCCCTGAACATTTGATGGTACCACATAAAATGGATGAGACCAAATTATGACATCTGTTGACTTCATGTGTTTGAAACAATATTACATTCAACAATAATGTACAGACATTTTATGACAATACTTTTGTAATTTTTACATACTTTTCATGAAACTGCAAAATAAAATTTATATATATATATTTATTTATTTATTATCAAGAGTGGAAATCTCAAGCAACTTTCTCTTGGAAGTTATGAACAGTAAAAGCTACACACTCATTATCTCTCATACTCAGCCATCAGCAACTGACCCAAACACCACATAAAAGAAAAGTTTAAGAATGTGGGTTTGACCAAGTACTTAGCACAGCTGATGCTCAGTGACCTCCAAAAGTAACAGGACAAGATTACACACCAATTACAGAAATATAACATTTACACTGCTTTCCTTATTTTATAAGGGCAGATACATTTCACACTATGCATCATAGCTAATGATTCTTTAATAAAATGACACGTTCATAAACATTTCAAATTAACACATTGCTGATTGAAGCAACCAGAACACAGAAAATTATATAGTTCACTGCCTTCAATACCAAACTGATGACCATTTAATATGAGGATGGCAATAATAAATGCAGTCTTCAATACTGTGTGAAGCCAAAGTTCTGTGAACTGATGCATGATATCCAATATCATTTTTACAGTACATGATCAGACTCTGAATATGTTCCTTCAGGTTTCCTTATGTATGGATACAGCAACACAGACAGTAGGAGTGCACTTCGTTGGCTACCTCTTCTATATTTCTATTTTATTTACTTATGCATCATAAATACAAAGAATAAGATTCTGTATACTGCGAACAAAGTTATAATACAAATACCTGCTACAATATTTACCTGCATTGTTTCACTGGTATAATCACAGACTATGAATGTAGAATAAGTGAAACTTTCAGAATATTTTGTATTTTATGAGGCACTAATGCATGCAGCAAATAAACTTGGAAACCAGTACAAATCTTCTCCTGGATTCTGGTTATCAATCCATGCAAGACCCTCCTTAACCATATGATCTAGTGCCTTTCGGGCACGTTCACTTTCCCACCTTAGTTGTTCACGAAGCTGAGATACTGACACATGAGCCGTATCACTACTAGCTGCTTGTTGCAACACTGCTGTGTGATCCATACTCAGTTCACCTGGCACTGACTGTACCAAGTATTGACCTTTACCTACTGGTAAAACAGAAAAACCACTACCAAATATCCTGAGTTTCTGTGCTGCACGTAATAGGTCATCTATAGATATTTCTTGGTGTTGTTTATTTCTGCCTCTGGCTTGTACTAATCTTTGCCTTAATTCATCTAGACTAATAAGTCCACCATTCTTATAATTTGTAGCAAGGCAAACCTCAACAATCTGTACACTCAGTTCATAATAATAATCACCTATCCCAAGAACTGACCAAAATCCCTTTCCAGAAGCCAAGGGATCAACACCTATAGCTGCACACATTTCTTGAAACTGTCGTCTAAACTGGGAATTTTTCCGAATTTCTTTTTTATGTTTGGATGCAAATTCTTCTAAATTAACTCGAAAAACTTCTAGTTGTTTAGACATTTGTTCCAACTGACTTTCTTGAAGTTCAGTGCCTTTATCTCTATATTTCTCTTGTTCCAGCTTCTGCTTTTGTATCGCCCCCACTCCTGCTCTGCGTCTCATTTTGTAGGTGCAAACTCTTTCGTGGCTTAACCTATGATAATACCTTCAATTGCCACATAATTATTAAACGTAAGGAAGCTGTTCCAATGGTAACAGCAACAAAATAAAGATCGTAATGAAACAAATTATGCACTTCTCACATAACCCTTAACACAATCACATCGCCATTTTATACCACAGGTGTGAACGTAAAATGAACTGAACAACGGAATTATGTAACATACATCATCACAGATCAAAAAGGAAGTAGCGTTATCACAGATAACATCGATAATTCAAAATATAATTAAGCATATTGTATCTAAATACCAAATTTATTTAAAATATTTGAAGGAATGACGATTATAGACACACACTATCTGAATAACTATGCACATGTTTGATAATGTGTGACATGTTGTAAGTCAGTATGCTAAAGTACTGATGGTATTGTTCTATTTGTCGGATGATAGGACAAGTTTCCGCACTTTTATCACGCAATAGGCAGCAAAAAACCCAGAACACAATCATCTACCCCAACCCCTCAATTAGGAATGGTGCAGACAAAGCCCCTTCTTTCAAATTTTTGATAAATACGTATATTTATCTATGGTCTGTGACTATGTATGTCGAATGTTGTCATCTGGGATGTAAACAGCAAAATGGAAGATGGGTTTTGGAATTGCGGTTATAAACAAATAGGATGGCATTAATTGTACTGGTGTCCCACTAGTTTAACATAACTTAATTCAAAAGATATGCGATAATGTATGAACATTCTAAATTTCGTTTCCAATCAAACATGAAACCTAATAAGAATCCTGTTGTGTTCTTGGATATCAATATTGGATCAAGAAAAGGTTAGAGTTGTCACTGGTTATGAACATTATCGTTTCAGTTTAAGAAGTTTATGGAAACTGAAGCATACAATTTGTTCTCAGAAAAACAACCTATAAGCTACAAGCGAAATTTACTCATTTTTTCATATTAATAAGAATTTGCATTTAAGAAATTTGTAATTACAAATATCTTGCTAATAACATTGGAATGAACTACATTTCTGCTTTAATACTGGTAAATGATTGTCTCTGAGATTCTGTCCTGGAAGATTTTATTCCATATGAAATTTTCCAGACCTCATGTGTGTTTGAATAATAAGGTTTCTGAAGTTTTAAAATTTTATACATTTTTAGCCATATTACTAAAAGTTTATCAATAGCTCTGAAACAAAATCATTATATTTTCCTTTGACAGCAGGACGAGTTGTTTTAGAATTATTCAAGGATGTTGTTCCAAAAACAGCAGAAAACTTTCGAGCACTTTGCACAGGAGAAAAGGGGAGTGGAGTTTCTGGGAAACCACTGCATTACAAAGGAAGCATATTCCATAAAGCAGTATCAGAATTCATGATACAAGGAGGAGACATTACGATGTTTGATGGAACAGGTGGAGAAAGCATATATGGATTAACATTTAAAGATGAAAATTTTAAATTGAAGGTAATTGTGTTTTGCTTTTTTGTTGGAATATATTATCATGTGACAGTGGACTGAAAGTAAATCAGAAGGGCCCAGAAATACTACTTTATAAAGTTACAGAGGTTAATGCATTGTATTTAGAATCTTGGTATAGTCAGCATGATCTATAAAACAATGGTTATAATTATGTGTTCTGAAGTTAAAGTGAGGCCTCTGTACCCAATGCAGGAAGCAGGAAGTGATTACTCTATACCTCTGATCCATTTGTCAGTTTGCTAATATTGTTTTAACAGGCTGGTCTGTTTTTATTTTCTCAGTTGGTTAACTTACAGTTATGTTTTGTATTTCAGCATCATTCGGCTGGCATGCTGAGCATGGCAAAGGCTGGTTCTGACTGCAGCAGCTCACAGTTCTTCATTACCACAATCCCTTGTGACCACCTAGATGGTGTCAATGTTGTATTTGGTGAAGTGAGAAAAGGATTGGGTGTAGTGGAAGAAGTGAGCAGGGTCGGCACTCATGAGGACCGTCCATTTGCGGTAGTATAATTTGTACATGTATGCCTTTCCACAAACTTTGGTTCTATTTTAGATATAAAATTTATGAACTCAGTTTGAGTGTTTTATAATTTTCTTCAGTGAAATTTGAACATACACGCTAACTGGTGGTCATATTTTGTTACTGAAGAGCTACACAGTGGATCACACCCACAAGGGATAGCAAACTAGATCATACTTTGTATCTTTGAGAACATCAGAAGGTTTTGTTATCTTTTTTCCTTTCTTTTACAGAACCCATATTTAATTTTAACCAAACATAAATTATAACCAAGTATCCCTGAATTCCTGGTCAGTTATTATAATTTTCTTTAAATTAAATAAATATGAAAGAAATGGGTGGTTGAGTGTGAACAGGATTCATCTGGCTCACGATAGGATTCAGTGATGCACGCGTATGAAATCAGTAATTACTGTCCCTTAAGCAAAGAAAGCAAGAGTATGAGATCAGCACGTTTTATTTTAATGTAATTTACAACCATCATGAATAACAGTGTGGCAGAGGTTTGAACTTGGTAATATATCTTAGAAAAATATGCAACTTCTGTTAAGGTAAATTTGTCCATAGAATTTAAAGCAATATGGCAGATAAGATTTTTTTCCTTTCAGTTTGACAGTGATAACTAATGAACTATTGGAGCAAGGTATGTGAAATTTGGTTTGGAGGTAGATTATAAACATGCTTGGAAGAGATATTGTTTGCTATGTTGCATATCTTGCTAGATATGTTAGACTAGAAATCCTTGCAGTAGAAAAGTGTGATTTATGGATTCTACCCAGAACTTCATGTCTCACCATACACCTACTTCTGTCAGTCTCTTATTCACGGTTATTATTTCATATTTCTGTTTTATTATAGTTTGGAATAGAATTAATTTAAATACACTATGTGTGTAACGGATTTTGTCATGTTTTACTTGATGCTGTGGTTTAATGAGGGGTGAGTAATATAGTAATTTTAAATTCATTGTGTGACAGAAATGTTGGATTGAAGATTGTGGGGAGCTGGGCCATAATGAAGAGGAATGGGGTATAGGAGAAGCTGACGGTACTGCAGATGTTTATCCTTCTTACCCAACTGATTGGAATGCCAGCAGCCAACAACTTGAGGTAACTGGAAACCTTAATTCAGAATGAATTAAGGTTTCCTTTGCATGCTGTTTATGTTCAACTTTTTCCCCTCTCCTCCAAAATGTTGTGGCTGAGTGGTTAGCGCTAATGGATCATATTTGAACGCTGTTAGGTTCAAATCTTGGCCAGCTATTCTGACCGAGGTTTCCAGTGGTTTTCCTCAGCCCTTTCATGTTGATTCCAGTGTAGCACCTTAAATGAGGCCACAGCTGCTTCATTCCATATCGTTTCAGACTCATAGTTTTATTAATTATTGTATAATGTGATGCTAATAGTCTGAGCTACTTACAACATCGTTAAACAACTAACTAACTAGATGGCTTAGGGTACCCGAAGGTTCATCACCGATTTCACCAAAGCCCTCCACCAGTCCCTGTCCTAGGCCAGCAAAATCCAGTTGTCTTCAACAACTATCTCCCATAGATCCTGCCTGATATTATCCTCCCATCAACATCTAGGTCTCCCTAGTGGTCTCCTCCCTTCAGGCTTCCTGACCAATACCCGGTGCACACCTCTTGCCCCATTCATGTATGACACTTGCCCTGCCCATCTCATTCTTCTTGAAACATTGTTAAATAAACCATGAATAAATTAAGTTATATTTTTATTCATAACATAATTTTATGTTTATTTTCAGATTGATTCTCTTGAAACTGTCATAACAAAAATAAAGAATTCAGGAAATTATTTCTTCAAGGTCAAGGAATTTGTATGTGCTGGTTGCAAATATCAGAAAGCATTACGTTACATAGAATGGTGAGGAATTCATAGTATTTTAGCTTGGGATTTTTGATTTTGATATTTTGTGTGTAATCCTATAGGAGCAAGGTGAGCAATGTTTGTAACGACTCATGACCATTTATTTGCATCTTGAGCACGTGAATAAAATAGTGCTGTATTGTTTTTATAGCCTTATACCCATCTCTTCAGAGCCCACTCCTACAAGAATTCATGTGAAGTCAAAGTACATTTATTTTACTGTTCTCAAGGTCTCGGTCAAAACTGAAAGAGATTCAGAATGATCCAAAGCAAAAGAATTTTGTGGATGCAGAGTTGATTTGCCTCTTGAACTCTGCGGCTGTTTCTTTGAAAAGGAAGCTGTTCAGGGAGGCTTTAGAGAGCTGTGATCTGGTGAGGGAACGCTAATAAGTAGTGATGTGTATGTAGAAAAAGAGTTGTGTTTATATCTTACTTTCTTATGCTTTGTACTTAATTTTCAGGCTCTTAAAATTGACAGTAAATGTGTGAAGGCCTTGTATAGAAGAGCACAGGCAAAGCAAGGGTTGTATGAATATGAGGCTGCTCTGAAAGACCTAAGAAAGGCATATTGTTTGTCCAGAAATGATAAAATGATACACAGAGAAATCTGTTCTTTGAGGAAATTAATGATGGATTATCTGACAATGGAAAAGATTAGGTGTGAGAAAATGTTCAAATAATGTCAGAATAAGCATCTGAAAGAGATGTCATGTGGCAGGAATGAAGAACAAGGTAAGAAATTGAAGAGGAGTTGTGTGAAGTAAAATAGGTGGAGAGGCTAAGTTGCCAGATGACCCATTAGTATTGGAAATATCGTAGGTGGAAGAAAAAGAAGGGAATTTATCCACTAGGGGTCAGCCCAACTTGGGAGGAGCATCTTACTCTTCTGCCTGAGTCTACACTCACAAAGAGACTCTGTATTCCTTCTTGTGAAAGTTTGTATATGCTATTGGTAGAATTTGCCTTAAAATGAACACTGAACTCTGACAGAACTGTAATGTGTTTATAATTGTCATTAGTCCTGTGACAAGAGTGTAGTAAAGTATTTTGTTTAAGAAGAACATCTGAAGAAACAAGGAAATGTTGAAAGTGAAATCAGAATATCAGAGTGATCCACCAAGAACTGTTGATTGCTTGCAGTAGGAAAGACAGATTATCAGAATGAATGCTGTTCTCTTCCCTTCTCTCAGTGTAATTTTCTTTGGAATAAAATTGAGGGAGCACAAGCAGTTAATTTATATGTTATTATAAAGTTGCATATAACTTTCCTGTATAAATGTACATGTAAAATTAAAATTATATTCTTTCGATCAGAATTTGCTATCACGTTACACCCATTCATTATTATGTATAGTGTTCCTAAATTCTTTCTCCAATTTTTAACGTTAACATGCAAACAAGACTCTATTTAGAGGATACATTACTTTATTGTGTTCACTATATACCAAAGTTTAATTACCAATATTTGAACACATATTGTTTGAAATATGTTCAAATTATACTCAGTTTATTGCTGTATTCAAGTAAGCATTCCATTGTTTAAGTTAAATATGTTGGTTAACGATAAAAAGGTTTCATTTGAGCTCCATCTAAAAAATTAGTGAAACATAACCCTATATGAGTACATTGAATAGTGATAAACCTAGTTGGTTTGGAAATATCTTCTACTTGGGATTGTTTACTAGAAACTCACAAGTTTATATATGCCCACCAAGAAAAGGAACTGTATACAAAGCACCCCATAGTCGATAAAAATCTTTAATATATATGCATATTTATTGTTTATATTGGCTGTTCTGTTGGCCATGAAAAACTGATTTTGTTTCCATGGAAACGGTGAAGTGAAACAATACACAATCTAGTTTGACGTAAGTATGACGATTGATGAGAAAACTGTTTAAAACAAATATGAAAGAATGTTATAAATAACAATTATTATTTTGGTAAATATGTTTGAACTGAATATCTGTTTCAAATATTTTAACCTCTCAATATACTCTGACAGATATCAGCTGTTTAGTGCGTGTTTGTTCCTGCCATTGTTATAGTGTTGAATATATTTAAATTTGTTTGTTTTACACAATGCAGGATGCTACATAACATATTAACCCAATGAATTAGAAAATACAAAGGTGCAAATAAATGAAGTCACCTGAAGCTATGGCAAGTGGGAGAGGAGTGATCAACCTAAGGTTCAATCAAGATCAAGGTTTGTTACATGGTCGAAATGTTAAGACATTGCAACTTATGTTTGTATTTGGTAATAAAATCATTCCAGGATGATTAAGTTTTTTAATTATCGTGAGTGATTGCTTCAGACCTAGATAATTGTGAATTACTGCGTTGATTTGTGTTTTGTATCAAGTAATTATAGCAACTAAACGTGTAGCACTTGTAAATTTCACTTTTAACGTTATTGACCTTGGTTTCAGGGTTAAGAGAAAGGTATTTTAATATAATCTGTACGAATGAGAGCTGACATCATCCATTATTATTCATTGAATTTTGTTTATTGATTACAGAAGTTTTTAATCAGTACCATAATAAATTGTGATAATAGTTATATACAAAACATTAAAATGGCTGTACTATAACTACCACAAGTTACACATTTGGTGAAACAAGAGTTTAAATAGTGATTTATTAATGTTATTTTGTTGAAAAAATTATGCAGGTCTCATTTTTCATGTGCAGGTGAGGTCCAAAGCCATACTAGTTATTTTGTGGGTATTATATTAAAATTTCTAAACTTACTGAACATGAAAGGTGACATTTATTGACAGGATTATTTTTGTGCATTTTATATCAATTTAAGAATCAAATGTGTCAAGTAGGTTTGTGTGATGCGTTTATTATCTGTTGTGGAATAAAATTTCACACTCTTCCTCGTACATTTTACAAATTTTTTGATCATAAAGCAAATCTTTATTTTAGGTAGCTACTATTATGTTTATAACCCTATCAGTTATGGAATTACATGTCTCCCAAGTGGGTTCTAGGTGAATGAGAATTATGAACTTGAATTTAAATTGCTTTTCAGCTCTAGGTAGATGCTCCAGATCACTGGAAAAGCCAAGGAGAATGACCAACACATATTAGAAAGAAAATTATTACAATCCACTTTTGGGAATTTGTTCCTACATGTATTTTTGCTGGGAATGATAGTTATAGCATCTTAAGGCAATGGAAACAACTTCATTAAATAAAGGACTCTGAAACTAAATAGATGGTGTGTACTTGTGTCTGTACAAAAATTCTACCCTGATTAGAAAGACATTCACAGTTCTGGTTACTATACTTTTACAGGTGTTAGCTCTTGGAGTTGTTGGCTATTAATGATTATGGTTATTAGTTATTTATATTTATTGCAGGTTGCTTTACATGTTGTATGGAAAGTGGTTTACGCATATATAATGTGGATCCTTTAGTAGAGAAGGCTCATTTTGGTAAGTTAACTGTTGTACTGCTTATAGATATAAATTTCTGTGCTCAAGTGTTAATGTTGAATTTGTGTTCGCTAGGAACATGAATTAATTGTCCACAAGAAGATGAAGTCAGCTTTTTCTTCTCCTCAGGAAGTTTAACAGTTTTAATAAAGTGCAAACATCTTATAATATTGCAAGATTGCAGTGAGGGTGATGATGCTATTCTTCTGTGTCTTGGTGCATTGTAGACTCATCGATGAATGGAAACATTTTGGAGAAACATACTGTCTCCTTTTTCAGGGCTGAAACTCTGAAGTGCCAAGACACTGAAGGACAGCATCTTCACCTCAAAATGTTGGTGGTGAAGTTTGATATTAATAATAACAACAAAAACAATAATACATGTCTGTTTTTGTGATTCCCAGATATAGAGTTAATGGGAAGTGTAGCACATTGTGAGATGTTACATCGTACCAACCTTCTTGCCGTCGTAGCTGGTGGTTCCAGACCAAAGTTTGCTGAAAATACGGTGTTGGTATATGATGACATTTCCAAAAAATTTGTTCTGGAGTTCACATTTACAGCACCTGTTAAAGCAGTGCGACTTCGGCGGGATAAGTGAGTACCCTGAAGATGTATTTGAAATAATGTAATTTTAACACATATTTAAGGAGTAATATATCAAAATATAAGATGTTAAATCAGATGTATATGAGGGTGCATGTTAATCAATGTCATTCGTTTCTGCTACAAGGATTGGGCCATTGACCTTTTCTGGGACAGTTGCTCAAGACAACTTGCCCTTGTTAGTCTTGAAGTGCATTTTTGAGTAGTGAGTAACAAGTCCACTAGATATGGGTGAGTGGTCAGCGTCATCCTCTGGCCACACTTTACCCCTGGGAAGGACCCCAGTACGCATTAGACAGAGGCTGGGTGGGTCCCAAAGCTAGACCAGATGTATAGGCTAGAGGAAAAATTTTCTGTCCCTTTCAGTGATCAAACCCCTAATTGTCCAGTCATTATACTGACAGAGGTATCCTGGCTTTAAAAAAAAACGGAAACAATATAATATACTAAATTTGTTTATATTCCAACAGGTTGGTGGTTGCATTAAGCCAACAGATACATGTTTTCACTTTCCCATCTCCTGCTCAGAGATTGTTCACATTAGAGACACGTGAAAACGTTTTGGGGTTATGTGAAGTCAGCCCTCTTCAGACTGCTGAACGGCAACTTCTCATGTTTCCTGGGCACAAATTGGGCAGTGTGCAATTAGTGGTAAGAATTTGTGTTGTCATACAGTTCATGATTGTGGTGGTTATCTTCTGTGATACAGTATTTTGTATGTCAATTCTGTTCTCAAATATTTATGACATTGCATGTGTGCTTTCTCAGCTGTATTATCTCTGCATTATGTTCCCTCTGCTTAAGATTTCCGTCAGATTGTTATTCATTAAGTAGGAATTTTTATTGTAATATTTCCTAATGAATATGTAATTGGATAATAATACTGTTTATTTTACACAGGATTTGGCGTACACAGAAGCTGGCATGTCAAGTGCCCCAGTTACAATCAATGCTCACCAAGGGGAACTGGCATGTCTTGCTGTGAATCAGCAGGGAACCATGGTAGCAACAGCTTCCAGTAAAGGCACTTTGATACGGGTGTGGGACACATCACAGCGAATTCTGCTGGTAGAGCTAAGAAGGGGGTCTGATCCAGCGACCCTTTATTGGTGAGCCCTCATGCACAAGAGCTTTGGTAATTCTACTGAACATGCTTCAAGAGTTAAAAGTAGCTAGTTGATTATCCCAAATTTATTTTTTGTTTGTTTGTTTGTTTGTTTACAGCATAAACTTCAGCGTGAGTTCTGACTTCCTGTGTTGCTCAAGTGACAAAGGAACAATACACATATTTGCCCTGAAGGATACTCGCTTAAATCGACGATCCACGTAAGTACTGCAAGATTAATTTATGTTGTGGATTAGTGATACGTTAATTAATGCACAGGGTATATGAAATACAAAGCACCAATCATATTCTAATAGCAGCTTCTGGACTTTACCTTTTCATCCTGGCACCTGCATATTTGGGAGTAAATTATGAAATTTCCATTTCTATAACTATAATGTATAATTCTTCAGATCTCTAAAACAATGCATTGTCAGCAGCACAAAGTTCTAGTACTTGTTTCAGACCTCATCAACTTGCTAATTGTGAATTATACAGTTTTTAATTATTGCAAAGAATGAGTTAAAATTAAAAGAAGAAGTATTTGCCATCATTATTTTTAGTCCAGTGGAACATTGCACATAAGCTAATTGTGTTATAAAATCAAGTATTTTAGAAAGCAGTTGTTTCGTTTATGTAGGTTTTCCAAAATGGGTGGTATCTTGGGAAATTATGTGGAGTCCCAATGGGCCTTAGCCAATTTCACTGTGCCTCCTGAATGTGCCTGCATATGTGCATTTGGGTCAAGAAATGCTGTAATAGGTAAGATACTCAAATATATTACTGTCTCAAACTGTTTATATAAATTACAGTAAAAAGAGAAAATTACAGTTTTTCAGCAATGCATGCAGTCATTTAATTTATTCATCAGCCTGTAATTTGAATCCAAAATCGGATCATAATCAGTTTCTTCTGATTTGAAAAATGTTCTGGTCTTGAGAGATTATATTATAAACAAATTTGCAGCATTGCAGAATAGTGTGTTTTGGTCAAAATTTGGTAAGTGCTTTGTATAATTCTCCATGTTAAAAGGATCAAATGGAAGTAAGGATACGATACGTCACTAAAGCACTTTCCATAGTGATATAATGAAATTATGAGTGAAGTTCACTACTGCATGATGTCTAAAGTTGTTTTTTATTGCCCTAAAAAGTTGTGCCTAGTGACTTAACCCTCTTTTCTGTATTCTATACTTGTTTTGTAGTTTAATGTTTGTTTTGTAGTGCCTGTTACACAGCATTGATTGTAGGCCTGACAGACGAAAAGCAGAATGCCTTTCTACTCTTTAATATCTTCTCCCACTGTGTGTAGCATTAATTGAAAATCTTCCATTTAAAGTTTTGTCCAGCAAAGGAAAATTATTAATTATTATTTTCCTGTATGTATTTTATATTTCAGCCATTTGTCTGGATGGAACCTTCCAAAAATACGTGTTTAGTCAAGATGGAAACTGCAACAGAGAGTCGTTTGATGTGTACCTTGATGTTTGTGATGATGATGAACACTGAGGAGTTTGTGCCAGAAACTGTACTTAACACATACTAGAGTAAGGTTTTTCTAAAACACTAAGTTTAACTGTAATATCATTCTCTACTGACTGTTGAAACATTTGTGACAGAATTGAAACTTCAGCTTATTGATTGTTGGTTGCTGTATAATACCAACATAATAGCCATGTAAACTTCTAAGATAGAAGAGACAGTAATACCACTTAATGTAAGACCTTAAAATTTGTTTGGTATTGGTCATAATAGATCTATAAATTCCATATGAATCAGTGTGTATCAAGCAAATTTTATGTGCCTAGAATCTGTAATAATGGATATTCAAATTATACATTTCTTGTGTATTATTTGTACAGTCTGCACAAAATGAATGTAAATAAGGCCAATTTTCTGTACATAACTAAAGAACCACATATAAATCTTTGTTAAATTTGATATGCCATTGGAGGCTACCCCAAACTTGTGCTTTTTAGTTTGGTATGTGCATGAACTTGTGAGGTGAAAATTACACTAGCATCACATAATATAGGGTCCAGAAATGGTGTATTGTTGAGAGATCAAAAATTTTTTCTCCTCTTCGTATAAAACAACACGGAGTTTGTATTGAAACAATAAGAGGAATTCCTTATTATGTAAAACACTATTATAACTGTATGCTAAAATAATATAAATTTTGTTGTATGTGAATGAAAATTTTCATGGGTAACCTCACATGATGCTAAAATATAATATGCACAATGAAATAATTTCTACATAAGGGAGTCTTTGGGTCCTTATTGTGTTAAGTAGTTTTCTTTTTGTACATGTTAATCTTCTTCTAAAATGTTTTTGACTTTATGGATGTTGTTAGTATGTACATTAATGTTCACAGTTTTATTGCTTAGCAGATGATTCTGTGCTTGCAGGAACACTGTTAATGTGGTGACAACCACTGAATGTGTGGTGGAGAGTTTGTCACCTGCGTCACCATCAGAGATGACTGCCCATCGCTCATATTTTCCAGAGCATTTACACCAGTGGAAAAACATGGCCTGCTAGTTGAATGGATGTTTTAAATATTCTGCTTGAATTGTTTATACCAGTTTAGACTTGATATTTTGTACTCAAATTCTTTTATAGGAAATCTTGAAATTCCATGCTTGTTCCAGAGGCAGTGGTGCAAGCACCATGATAAATCTTTTTATCAAGTCCACTAAAATGTTCATAATTTGTGTCCTAGAGAAGTATATTACATCCTTTTTTTTTAATTTCAGTTTTGCAATTATAATTTGTATTGTAGTTCAGATGTGTACCTCAGAAGAAAAAAATAAAATATTTTGCCAGTCACTTTATATTAGTCTTCCATTGTCCTAGTTTATTGTCATCATTTGGATGTACTGTTCTCTTAGCAGCTTCTAATCCAGTGAGGAATAACATTAAATCATGCAGACTGTTGTCTGTGATGAGCAGAGGATATTGCTCATACTGCTGTACATCTAAAAATCTTTGAACGCATACCAGTTTGGAGACTCATCCTTCAACCCAAAGGCCATGTTAAAACATTAAATATTATTGGGGTGATTTGATAATTTCTATCTTTAGTCTTCATTAGGGATTCCATAGTCTGTTAACCAAAATACATGTTTGTTGAACTTTTTGAGGCTGGTTTCTGGAAAAATATATCTGTACGCCAAACACATCTGAAATGTAAACTATATATGTGCAATAAATAATAACTAGAAAGAAAACTATCATGTTGCATTTGAATTTAACTGAAAGAAAACATGAGAATTATAGATTATGCATTGTCGCAATCAGTAATTAAAATATAATTTCTAGCAATTCATGATTTACTAATAATTTTCTAAATATTTTGTATTGTTTGTACATATAAACATTTATTTTATTGCCAAAGGATATGGCAAAGTCAGTCATAATTGTTGTGTGAGAATGTACCAGAACATTATATATATATATATATTTTTTTTTACTTGTGATGCATATTGTGATTATTGTCTCTCATAAACATGAAGCCAAATGCTTGAAATATGACAACGATAATTTGCACAAGATTTTTGCTCTATTCTAATGTATTTGTGTGTACATCTTTGTTATGTTATATGTTTTGTAAGAGAACTATATCTGTTTATATACAAATGTTCTGCAAAAAGAGAAAAATACAATGCCAGCATTTTTTGTACTTCTTTGAAGCATTCCAATTACCACCCAATTATCGTATTTCACCATTTGCAGTCATGGTTTCCTGTAGATGATTTAACATTATTAAATGAATAGTGATGATTATTCACCCCTTCTAAAAATCGACACATTAATAAGAGTGAGAATTCTTGGATGCATTGAAAAGTTACATAATTTGATTCATATCAAGACCATGTAGAGATTGAAAAAGCAAACCAATCTGTTCATTTTGTTTTGGGAAAATGGTTTCTTTGTGTTTGTAGTATCACATCACTGACAAGGTGTTTCCCAAATTCCTTTCAACATTTGTTTATTATTGACTACAAGTTTAAACACTAAATTTTTGCAAAAAACTGTAGTTTCTCTATTAATCAAGGCAATCATGATCACAAACCATACTGGGGGTTCATACATTGTCTTTCATATGCTGAATATTTGTGATCAGCAGCACTCAAGCAAAAAATGGTTACTTAAATGTCTCCATTCATTCCCCTAGAGTCGACTCAAACGCCTCAGGAATTAACTTCATGCAACCTGCACTTACTAATTACACATTCATTTGATAGAATTTACTTTTGTACAGTCAAATGGGAAGAGCAAACATTTTATTTTGTTACTTGAACACAATCACGTAAAACCATGTTTGTTCCTGATTAGACTGAATTTTCAGGGACATGAAATGGACTGGAGAGGCTTACAAAGATTTGCACTTTATTTCATGTAAAACATACAATATAAATTATGATAATTACACATCACTTCTGTTAGAGTTATGAAATGTTAGACTGTAACATTTATCAATACATTAAATAGTTTTAAAATATGCTACTAATATAGTGCACATACACTGAGGATGAGTTTAATTACAATTGTCTTTCAAAGTTACACATCTACTCTTGTCTTCACTACATTGTATTCATTTTTCAGTCATCTTCAAATTGAATCTACCTTTTCCTGTCAAATGGATCGGTCCACACTTTCATATCTAGAAAAAAATGGAGAGATGTACTTTAATAAACATATAAAAATAGCAACCACTATCTCACACCCTTTGTGCAAAATATATCTACAATAACACTCCTACACTGATCACCAAAATACCTTTTTACATGCAAGTATACATATAACGGTTTGAAAACTACAAGGCCTCTCGAAATAAATGAGATGATTAAATTAACAATAAGAAACATAACAGTGAGTAACCTGATAAATATATAAAACCACATCAAGTTTTGCCTATGAGTGCTGAATGTATGCACCTACATTATGTGGCAACTTTCTCCATCTTGCAGGATAAAAAATGAGAAAATATGGTTCTTCAAAATGATGGAACCTATCAAAAGTCTATACTGACAAAATCCAAACCATCAAGTTTTCATTTCTCACCACTTTCATCAATTCTGAATTAACAGAATAGTTGGAAATCAATATATTTCATATTATTATGAAGGCCTTGTAATCAAGGACAGGACTTCTTTTAACAAACCACATTACTGCTACAATTGTAAACATTTATAATCTTACTGCCAGGCTGGATATCTTCCTGAACGATGTTTGCTCGATTCTCGGCTTGGATTTTCTCTGTAATAAAAAATTAAATGCAATCTTTAAAAATGTGTCTATTCATACATGAACAAGACCAAACTCCACTGCATTAAAAAAATATATAAACTGATTTTAAATAACAGTTCACAACCTTGCCTACAAAAGCTGATTTTGTTGAACAGAGAAAGCCTAACTAATTTTCTGGTAGAGGAAACTAGACGTTCAAAAATGCTAATATCAAAACTTGTCACTGTTGAACATGATTTAGAGCCACTTCTATTTATCCCTCATCCTGGCAACAAGTTTCTCCAACATCCATCATTTGTTATTCCACCAGTTCCTTCAAAGCGACCACTTTCAAACAGGCTTACTCACCAGTTTCTTATACATATTCCTTGTTTCCCACATGCATCAGTGAAACAACATTTACTTACTGTAAGTGTCTATATTCTGTAAAGGGTATATTATAATGGGATATGAAGCGGCTCCTATAAAACCTACAATTCCACCTATAAATGCCACATATCTCCATCCTTTCATATATGTACCCATTACAGTTCAAATGCCAACATGTCAAATATGAGGTGGTCCTACGAAATAAATGTTGGTTGAAAGGATATTTCTTACTTGGCTCCTACATAAATTTCTCTCGTGTACCAAGAATCTTTAATTAAGCTAAAGGATAACAACCCACCGGAAGGTTTGATAATAACAGATAGTTGTCACCACTGTCGTGATTATTGTACAAAAGACGTACGTTAATCTATGGATATGTTGCTAAGTTTTTTATAACGTTTAGGACGAAGTTTACTGTCATAATTAAATTATATTGGCTTGTACAATTATTATTAAAAAAATAAGTAAAGCCCAATGCGGCCTGTTTCAAAGTTCACGGGTTGTCATTCTTGGTTGTAACTGATAGTTCCATGTAAGTCTCTCTAAGAATGGAAGGCCGAACGTAATATAACGAACTGCACCGGTTTATGAAAACACTTATTCGTTATTTCAGACGTATTGATTATTGAATTTCTTGTACAAGTATGTGAGAAGCTATTTGGCCATTGGTAATTTGTATTGTCAGCATTTTAAATCCAAGTGTTGTTGCCAGTTTCAGAACGTGTTCTGGTCTATTATTTTTTGAGGAATTCCAAATATGAGTTTGAAACATTTTATGAAGACTTACTTTGAATGTATTTTATTTGGCCATAAGTAACATTTATTATCAATATAAAGACTCCAGTAGTGTTGCCAGTTTGGAAAAAAGTTTCTAGGTACATTTTTATTGGAGGTATGATGTACAAGTTAAAATAATTGAGGTCTAGGTTTGGAATTTTTGTTTTCTTCTATCATATTTATGAGCTGTGAACTGTATTGTTTTATGAGTTTAGTTTCACAAGACTTCCCTTTTGTTTATGTCCATTAATCTTTAAGTGTATTGCATTGTGGTTAGGTGTGTAAGTTTAACCTTCTCATCCTTGAGACTGGCCAGAGGATTATAAATCAGTATCATAATGAAATTTTTTTTAATATTAATTTTCAACAATATTTTAACATGATTCACAGCAATTCCTACGTAAGTGCATAATTTGAGATTTGTTTAGTACTGCAGCTTCGGCATGATATCTCAAGTTATGGTTGTGACTGGTAATCTGGATTGTCTTATTTTATTTAGTAGAGGAAAATGCTTCAGTAAGATGTGAGCATATGTTATTATTTGCTCAGGGTCATGGGTCAAACTTTGTCTGAACCAGTCACAGCCAAAGAGTCAGCATGTTGTCAGAATTCACAGTTGAAAGTCGGATCAAGTTGCATGCAGGGCTGGAGAATCAACATGGAAGATTCCCATACACACATTCTTTCACTGCCAGATGATCCAGGAACTGCTTTCTTTGGTGTTTATGATGGCCATGGAGGTAATGCAGCGTTGATTTATCGTACAGTTCACTCTGGGTAAAAACTTAAAATTGCTCCTACCTAGATAAGAGTATTGAAGAAAAAAATTGCAGGTTTTACAAAAGGAACCAGAAGTTGGCAGTTACTTGTTTTTAAGTGTTTTATTTATTTTCCAGTGTTAAAACACATTTGTGATCGTTGGGTTAATTTATCTGTTTATTTATTATTATTATTAGACAAACTCTTATGTCTGTTGCTTATTGGAAAATCAATGGGCAATTTGTGTATCTTTCTTTCAGTGTGTTATTACATAAATAATGGAAAATATAGATGTATAGTTATAGTCTCATTAAAAAGAAAGAAGTGTTCATGACCAGAGTGGAATAAAAATTTGTAGGAAATAAACATCTATGTAGAGAGAGGAAAAATTGTTACAGAACTTCCTTCAAGTTAAAGAGAATAATTTAGACCCATACTCAGATATCATGAGAAATGCAATGAAAATGTTGCATTTATTATCTTAAAGTGTTAAGAAAATTTGGTCCTACTTTGTACATATGAGTAATACAAATAATGTGATATAATCTTTTTTAGACAGCATACAATGCGACCAGAACGTTGTGGTTTTAATGTAACTGAGAATATAAATACCTTGTAAGTTATAATATGAAGTTTATATCTTATCATCTGATATTTGTTTATTCAATGTTCATTGTATGGGTCACCATAGTTAAAAATTAAAACTGTAATCTTACTGACAAAAGAAATTTATTTCTGCTCTATTTACAGGCGCTAAAGTTGCACAGTATGCAGGAAAACATCTTCACAAATATATTATTAAGAGGTCAGAGTACAGGGAAGGAAGAATTGAAGATGCGCTACGTCAGGTATATTTTAACAAAAATATTTTAATTTATGCTATTGTGACAGAGTGATGATAATAGTAATTATCCATTACCTTCTCTTTTGAAATTTCTATATTTTATATAGTTTGATTTTGGTGACTGAAATATGTAGAAGGATAATTTCAGATTATGCTTTGTAAGAAGCCATACTCTCCATTACTATGCTGATAATAGGTCTTAAATTTCTTACAGGGTTTTCTTGATGTAGACTGTGCAATGTTGCAAGAAGAGTCACTGAAGGACGAGTTGGCAGGTACTACTGCAGTTGCTATTGTTCTAAAGGACAACAGACTTTACTGTGTATGTACAGTACATAAGTTTCACATAATCATAAGTAAGCTTTGAAGAAAATTCCTTTGGTATCAGCTATATTGAGCAACCTAAAAATGTCTAGAATCTTCTTGCTGTACCTGCTCTGGCACTCTGGCCAGGAAGGTGTCTGTGCTTGTGAAACAGCCTGTAGCATTATGAATTCTTTTGTGCAATAGCTGTCAATTCTAGGAATCTTCTCTCCTGTTCTGTATTTTTCCATTTTTCATGCCTTCATACATTTCCTGGCATAGTGTTTTTGAAAATGATACATCCTTACAACCGTGTACGTTGAATTAACAAGGTTTTGTGGTAGGAGCACAGGACAGAGATTCTTAATTTTCATAATTTCTGAATTCAGTCTCATATTACATCAGGGAACAAAATCTAATGTACCATTTTCTCCTTATTTTCTTTGCACATAACATTAAATATAAGGCAGTGCATTAATATTGTACAAGACAAGTTCTTGTGTTAGGTGTATTGTTACTTCTGCAAGTTGCCTTATGTTTATATAACAGGCTAATGTGGGTGATTCTCGTGCCATTGCAAGTATTAATGGTAATGTGGATGTGCTTTCGTTGGACCATAAACCCAGTAATGACACAGAGATTAAAAGGATCCAAGCAGCAGGAGGCTGGGTTGAGTTCAATCGTGTCAACGGCAACCTCGCCCTATCACGTGCTCTTGGAGACTTTGTATTTAAGAAAAATGAAAAGAAGACAGCAGAAGAACAGATCGTTACAGGTGACCTGAGAAATTTATTAAAGAAATTCATACATTCTTATTCTCTTCATCATATCCTAAAAGCAATTACTAATTAGCTTCACTATCTTGTATGCAAAATAAAAAAATAATATGCAGTAGGCGTGCGTATGGGAGAACAGATAAGCATGGAGAAGACTTTGTAATAAGATGATTATTTATTTTATTTATTTAGTGTTCTGTCTGACGACAGGTCCATATGAACAGGATCCTTCCATCCTTTTCTCGGACTGGGACCTGTTCATATACGTTCTTGGCAGATGATCCAAAAGTGGTTTGCCATAGCCTTCTTCTGTGTGTGAATGGAGTAATTGTTGGGATGCCACGGAGAAACCGGGGAAGCCCCCGGAGGAAAACTCCGTGTTGCCTAGACCACGGCCTTGCCCAACACAAGTTATAAATTCGGAAACATAATTTATGATGATGTTCTGTACTAGGCTTTCATCTTCAGATTTAATTTGTGCTGGTAGTGATTAGTAATTCTTTTTTATTTTTACTTTTCTACCTTTAATAGCATTTCCAGATATTGAAGTTCGTGAAGTAAATCCTGACTGGGAGTTCCTGGTCATTGCCTGTGATGGCATCTGGGATGTTATGACCAATGAGGTGAGCTACCAGCAGAATTTAAATTTCTGTGTATGTAAGTGGGTGATGGGATTTTGCTGGCCCAGAACAGGGACTGGTTTAAGACTTTGGTTAATTCGGTGATGAACGTTAGGGTTCCCTAAGCCATCTCGTTAGTGTACGTTAGTGGATACATATTTGGTCCTGGTGTAAAATGTCTTTGTATTTTACTTCAAAATTATTATTTTATTACATTATTTGATAGTGGCGTTGGTTTTTCTAATGCAGGAGGTAGTCGAGTTTGTTCGTCTACGTATCGGATCTGGAATGGACCCAGAAGACATCTGTGAGGACCTGATGACTCGCTGTCTTGCACCTGACTGTCAGATGGGAGGACTTGGCTGTGATAATATGACTGTAGTCTTGGTTTGTTTCCTGCATGGAAAATCCTATGAAGATTTGTCAGCCCGCTGTGCCTCCATGAATCCTCCAGACCCAACAGACTCCAAATAACCTCATTAAGTATACTACATCAGAAGTGTCCATTTTGTGTGCAGTTCTTGTTTTTATTTGGTTACTTAATATTCTGTTTCTAAGCAACTTATTATTCTACATAATATTGCTGCTACCATAATACAGGCTTTCTTTTCTTTATTTTATATACACATCCGTCTGATCCATCTTGGTCCAAAGAGTAAAATAACAGCATCGTGGGTTTTCCTAATGACCTTCAGTGATTTTCTTTGTAGCATGTGCAATCATTCACAAGTGTTCATTTCTCATGTAGGAACTAATGAAAGTGGTTTATTAATTGAGTAGATTAAGTAAAAGAACAATTAAAGTGATGTGATTCAGCTTTTGTAACCAATATTTTAATAATTTTATTGATTATAACCATTCACTATTTGCTACATATTTTTATAATACTTTGAACGTTATAAAATTTTATGATACATATTTGATTATTTTGTTTAGCAGGAGAATGTTTGCCTTGCATTCTGGAGGTATCCAGTTCAAGTCTTGACAGATGAACAGTTATTCCGGCTGGGGTTTTTCCATGTTTTTTCCTGAGCTCCCTGAGGCAAATTCCAGGTTTGGTACCTTGAAATATACTCCATAAACAGTTCCTTTTGTATCCTTTCCAATTTACTGTTTTTGTACCCTGCCATTCCTATTTTTATTTAGTTAATATAATGTCATTAACCCTTCAGAGTGGAGGCATTTAAGTACCCAGTTGGTACCATGGTATGACAGAATGTGCTATTTGGGTATTTAAATTTTACTTTTATGGTGGTAGTTTTATTCAGCAAGGCTTAAGTTTTCTAATAATAATTAATGGATTTTAATGATACTTGGATTATGTATTCACTGGACACTACAAATTTTAGAAATGCAATATGTTTAACTTTTTAGTTGAGCTCTGTATGGTACATCTTGATACATCTTTCTGCACAGCGCCCAACCTCACAATCAGGGCATCAAAACATTCTCTTCCTCTGCTTGTAGCATACAACTTTTTTTTTCTGCTTTCATTTTCTTACATCATCATGATATGTACTCATCACTCCACACTGAAAGGTTAAGTAAACTTAAATTAAGAGGTCTTAGGTATGAGTGAACTTTACATAATCTTGTCTGATAAAAAAATTTGACAAGGAATTTGTATATGATTACATTTAATATGTTAGTCAGATTTTGGTTTGTACATATGTGTGTATTTGTTTCGGTTTGTACATTCTTTATTAAAAACAAACATTTGTATATGTTTTATATACTGGAAAATTGTATGTAGTTAATTTATATCATTTTATTATTATTAATAATTGTAAGTGGTATTAAATTTGTTCGTGAAATAGAGAACAGTTTTGCTGTTGGAATATTTACAACTTCTTTGCTTCGATTTAATAGACCCAGAACAAACGGTTCAAAATATTATTGATAACTAGGACCAAATTTATGCTGAATATTTTGGCAGGCACATACGTTTTATATAATTGTGCTGGATGCAGCATGAAACGTGTTTATATGATTTATTTCATTTTATTTTTAGAAACAGTAACATCTCTTTAGGAAAATACAGTGGAGATTATGGCATCGCATGTCTCAGTCCTTTTGTTATAGCTTGAAGGATTACAGCAGGAACATTATGCAGAGATTTTTTCCTTCTACGTGGTTATGTCCTAGAGAAGAACGGAAGTTATTTTAAGTTTACATTTACGGTTATTCAGTGTGCAGTTTCATTTATTTGACAGAAAACTAAAGAAGTAGAGAAATATGTATAAATGACTTTTATCTAATATCTGTTTTATTACAGTGAATTAAATCTCGCTACAGTAATGCATAGTTGTAGGTAGTGGTTGGTGATCAGTCTCTGTGACACTCTGGTATCCATTACCTGCCTCACTGCTTGTGTTTAGAAGTAGCGTAGTCAGAATTCAGAGAAAGTGCTTGCTTTTCTCACCAGTTTGATTGTTATTTTATATGAACAAGAAAATTGTACCTGCTGCTTCTCACAAATTAATTTCTTTGTATTCCCATGAACTTTAAACCTATGATAACTCATTTTTATGTTCTGTACATTTATGACTTTACAGCCATGCCTGAACTTGTTTATAAACCAGGTATCTCATGTAAGGTATTTACATGAAAGTATATATACTGTAATGTACGTTATTTTAATATTTTGATTCAAATCCAATATATGTGATTTGCAGTTCCACGGTTGTTGATCTTCTGGGTTATTATGTCGCATTGTCTCGTACTCTAGAGCTTAAATTGGAGATAACAAGCTTGGTGGTATTTAGTTTAATACCAGTGACACCCACTGGTATATTCTATCTTTTGAAATAACATTTAATTAATGGATTAAATGCCATTTATGTTACTTAATTGTGATAAAATGACAAGTTTAAAGAGGGATTCATGATACATTAAGATGATCAGGTAACTTCGTATTTGATGTTGCTACCGTAAGGAATTTGGTTTACTGCTTATAAATAGTTATTGATGAGTCATGAAATAGAAATAATCAATGTATGTAACTATTTCTAAACTTTTTATAGCTGTAGGTAAGGTATATATTTTTATACAGGAAAACACTTTCTATAGAAGCGGTAAAGAATGAGCAAGAATTTTTTGCCCGAGAAGTGGCCGGACGTGAAGAAGTAGAGAGCTACATTTTTCATGAACTAGCAGAATACTTAATAATCCATTACTTGCAGAAGTAAATAACATGTTCTGCTCTGTTCAGTTTGATCATCAGCTAAAGTCAGCAATTCAGTACCACTGTCAAGATAATGGTAGGCTCATTCATAATTCTGAGGGTAGACATGCAGTAAATAAAATATGTTTGCCAGTAGCCTTGGATAGGATACAGATGTAATATAAGACAAATATCTATTTATTTGTTTGAACACAGATGAAGGGATTTAATTTTAGCACTGAGTGTATAATCAGCTGGGACAAAATTCAGAATCATAATGCAGTATGCTCAATATTGTAACATGTATTCTATACATATATTTAAGTAAGAAGTCGTTTTATAATATGTACATATGCTGTAGTATGTATGCTTTGAAATTTGGAATGTACCATACGAACTCTGTGTACATATTTTCTCTAAGAGTTACTTCGTCTGATAAGGATACCATAGAATAGTGTTTCTTATATAGCCATTATTGCAGTGTTTCATATCATCATCATTACCAGCACCATCACCATTGTTATTGTACCAAAATTATTATTATAATATTTGAATCATGGTCTTTTAAGTTATAGCACCGTGTAGTTTTGTAGGTGGTTACCAACGTTTGTGAGGGACACCACCTCCATATTTACTTCTATCCAGAAGATAGAGGCAATAGATTTCTCCAAAATGTTGGCAATCATCTAGAGGGCAGCATGGCATCATAACGTACAAGACATCAATCCAAATTTCACCTCTATGGAACTCTCAGATCTCATTATTATATTTGTTTGTTATAGTCCATTTGTAACTCTACTTGGGTAGAGGATTAGCAGTTCTGTTGTGTGGACCAACTTTAGCATAACTTCATGAAAGTACGCAGTTCACAAGTGACTAGAATTCATTACCACACATTAATACTTGTGATCTGTGTTGGGGATTGCAAACATTGTTCGTACAGATGATGTGTGTGAGAGTGTGTTTCTGCCAAGTCTGTGAATTAGTGTTTATTGTTTACAGTTATAGTGCTACTGTCTTGATAGTGTTTCCTATATTGATAGTCACATGCCAGAATACAGTATCAGAATGTTAATTTCTTTTCATTCATTTGAATATTATATTCATAGTAATGCAGTGATACCCAACTGTCAGACTTCAGGTTAATCGAATTGAGACCGGAAGGTAATTTTTCTGATTTATGATTTTGAGGTTTTAGAGACAAGTTCTTATTTGTATATACAGAGGCAATATATCATGTATGCACACATATGTGCTAGTCCTTTCTCTGTCATCTCACTGATGTATCTCAGCGCTTCTTGTGACTAATTAGTATGCCAGAACACGTACATCACCAAACCTAGATTTACAGTGAAATTTACATAGTAACTACCTGTTCTTACACATCACATTATCTTAATTGGAAACTTCATCATGCATTTGATCAATTTGAAGAACCAGTGACCATTTATTTGCAATAATAGTTATTTTCCTATATTACTGTGATGTTATTTCTGAATAAGATTCTCACTAATTCAAACCCTGAGCTATTGTTTAGATTGTAAGATGGGTTGCAATATGTAGAAGATTTCTGTTCGTAACATTAAGCTTGTTGAATAGCATGTGCAGGGTTTATGTTACAGAATAGTATCAGACTTGCATCTAAGAAGATTGCAGTTGTGAGAAAATTGTGCAACTCGTGTGCTTTCAGTTCAGTTTCATGACTTTGCCTCTGTTCAATGTGATGTGCTATCTAAGAGGGTAACATGACAATTTTGTGGGCTGGCATGCTGTACGGTCCATACTGGAAACACCGATCAAGTTGATGATTTTGTGAATTCAGTTTTAAAAGATGGGAATTAACTACAAATATATACAAGAAATATTGAAGATATTACTGGATGTTGTTACTGTTATCAACCATTCTCAGTACTTTCTTTTAAATTCCTTTGGTCCCTGTCCCATTACATTTATTATTCAGTTTCGTTGTGAAGCGAATGATGAAAAAATTGACATCTTCTGTAATTGTCGTTTACATCAAATTATGGTCCAATGTTTTTGTGCCCAAATTCTTCCACTGATTTAAAATGCTGTTTTATATCTGACATTTTAACATAAATTTGTTTATGGTAAAATAAGGAAGTTGTATATTTCATCTGGATTCAAAATTTCCACGAGGAAGTTAACAAAAGGTGTGTTGTGGCCTGTTACTGTTGAGATCTGTTCATCCTGATAATATAAACTTGGGTAAGCTGTGATTATTTAAATTAATAAATATGTAACAACAATTGGGAAGCAGGAACAGAAGTAGTTGGTCTGAAGTTGAATTAAACTTTTGAAAGCTTATAACAGCCGTGAATGAAAGAATATGTTAACTTAGGTAAAAATGTATGTTTGCTTTGCTTAGTAGGTCTTTGCTTTAATTTCAAATTGAGCAACGTATTTGAGCTGCTGTGTTGAAACATCTGATAATGTCAGTTGCAGGGAACCTGACCCACAGCTGGAGCAGAAAAAATGCAGCAACAAATGTGATGAGGATTTGAAAGTTTTATAGTTCAGAAAGGGAAGTCCACATATCTCAGCACTGGTATCCAGGTGACACCATGTATTTCATCCATTGAGAGAAGAGGAAGTTTTTTCTGTTTAATATGTGAGTAAGTTATTCCAAGTGAGTTTATTTAATTACAAATTTGAACTGTTTTGGAAAAACTAAACAAGAACCGTTGTCACCTGAATTGAACTGGCTCAGAACAGGATCCAATGACGAGCATCTGCAGTGTCTCAAACTAGTAGCAAAACATTTACCCTTTTTTTTTCAGTCAAACTGGAACAAACGAGGTGTTATAATTAACATTGTATTTAATGTTGGATTTTATTAGTTCAGATTCATAATTTCATACCAGTTCTTACAATTAGGTTAATTAAGTGTCTGAAAATTGAGGCTGTTTATTAGTGACATTTAGATGTTGCCTAAGTGGGACCTTTGTTGTTTGTGTTTCTTTCAAAGGATTTTCATGAAGAAATCCTAATAACCTGGTTTACAAAGGAAGTAAATTCAAATGACTAGTACAGGGTTATTCACAATTCCTTGACACATTACAAAAAATCGCTAGACTTCATTGATGCAATGGATGGTAACATAGGACATGCCGATAGAAAGAGAAGCTGCCCAAGTTTATTTTACATACCTCATAAACGCTCTGTGTGTCCGCCCTTTGTGATGCTGCAGACGTCAATCCGGTAATCAATTTCCGTGCATACCCGCTGCAGCATGTCACGATTGACTCTGTTAGAGCCAAGCCTTCTCTTTTACTAGCGTCACTATTTTCACTCAACTCAACGTCGTATGATATGGTGATGTTCTAACCTGCACCCTGGCAGCAACCGACGAAACTAAGCGCCCACGGCACGTACAAACAAACTTTGAGTGTTTCTCTCTCTATCGGCATGTCGCATCCTACCATCCTCTGCACCATTCAAGTCTGGTGATTTTTTGTAATGTGTGAGGGAATTATGAATAACCCTGTATTGCAGAAATTAATTGGCACTACAAATATGAATGCTTTGTACATTCTTAGTGTTATTATATTTGTTTCCATGTGTCGTATGCTGCTACAGAATATGTGAAGTCATATATGAAATGTTACCGATAACAGTAGAGCAGTAGGAGTTTTTAAATTTCATAGCAATGGCATTTGTATGCTTAGAAGTCTTCACTTGATTTGAGGGTAGTGAAGTGAGACGTAGCGTGTGTTGTAGAGTAAGTGCAGACACGTGAAGGTTGTTGTTAATATATGGGAGGAATTGGTGTTCACATAGGTAACCACAGAAATAACTGCCCTTGTGAAATTTACAAAATTTGTGTAAGTATTTACTTTGCAGCTTGTTTGGGTTTTTGGCTGTTTAGTTGAACATCGTCTGTTTGCTTTATGTACTCACATGTTAGATCTAGGTCACTGTGCGTTAAGTTTAATTGATGTGACATCAGAGTTTGAAGACTGATTATTTTGTGTGGAAACAGGACACACGCTTTTCCAGCTGATCACTCTCTTTTAGAAGTGAAGGCTTTTTTGCTGTGATATAAATTTGGTACCCTAAAGACTTGGAAAGGATGGTCACAGGAGATTACTTCGGTTCTCTATTTTGATATGAGTAAAGAATGGGCAAGGGAGTACAAGAAGCGTGAATGGCCTTGCTTTGTTTTATCTTTTCTCAATTTTGTATTCAGTTCAATATATTTTAAAGGAATATTAATAGTTTCATGTAAGTGATCATTAAATATTTATTTATAATATATATAATGTAGATGCATTAACCTAATATGGGTATGAGCAAAAGATCTGATACACCGTACACAAAACATTCTGCGACTCACTATACGATTATTTTTTCTTTTCAGGAAGAAGAGATTAGCAAAAAATTGCATGTATATAATAGATAGTAAATAATAGAAATAATAACATCAGAAAACATCTCCACACAACACAACAGATGCAGGACAATAAGATGATTAATTATTTGCTGGTGTCATGAAGTGTAACCCTGACACTGATGTGAGTGAGTTTCAACTGGCTGGGAAGTTGGCACCCACTTACAGAACTGTACAGGATTGCTCATCAAACCATCAGCAACAGACAAAGGATTTATAATTGATTGGTGTGCAGCATAAAATTGGATAGTGAACGTCACATTGCGTACATATCTGGCTTCAGTTAGACATTTAATCAGAAACCACTGATACATAAGGGCCATTCAGAACAATTAAACTTTCATTTTAGATAAACTATATGTGTTATGCATCAGTTTATTTCAAAAAAAAAAATTATTGGAGAAATAACATTTGATTTGATACATATATTAAAATGATTTTAATCCAGTGAAGTTTTTTCCTGATTGCTGTTACTTGCGTGTCTTCATCACAGATTGACGTCAACTTGAAAGATGAGAATATAAGGCCCCAGTGTTCCTGTTCTCAGGCACATTACTTGTGATGTTGGACTAATATTTCTTGTCCTGTAACTTGGCATCTGTAATGGAAGTGGTAAAATGTGAATTGAAGACATTCTAATCTGAGTTTAACAGGCATAATTATTAGCCTCCCTCACTTCTGTAATGTTGGATCCTTTCATATTTAAAATTAGCTTTTTTCAAAATACCGTCACTGGTAAAAAAAAATCATTTTTCACAATTAGACAGTTTTACCTTTTGAAGCTGATTGTTGGTGTAATTTTGAATCACATATATTAAAATTATAATTTAGCCATTATTTTATTGGTTCCATCAATTAGGAGCGGTTATATATTTTCGATGTTAGTGCAGTTACACTTATGTGTGAACCTGATGACATTTAACTTCTTATCTACAAACTTGGTACCGAAACATTTAGACTAAACCTTTTATATCACATCACTTGGTTACAGGTTAAGGCTCCTGGTTCTTAGTACAGCACAGTGCAGACTATGCCACCTAGAGATGTCCCAAGTACTGGAATTCAGGTAAACTATACATCAGTCTTCTATTTGATGCTTTAGGTTTTCATCTTCCCTGGTCATGTAATGTATCTCTAAACCCCTCAATGTACCTGTTTTTTATTCCTCCTCCTCTTCTTCTTCTTCTTCTTCCTCCTCCTCTTCTTCTTCTTCTTCTTCCTCCTCTTCCTCAACCTCCTCTTCAGCAGCTTCCTCCTCTGGCTCCGGTTCAGGTTCAAAAGTCGGTTCCTCCAGGTCTTCATCTACGCCCACACCGGCCTTCACCTCCTCTTCCTCTGGACTCTCAGGGTCACCCCTCTTCTTGCCAGGCCGCTCACCAAACCACTTGGGCAACTTGGCTAAATAAAAATGCAGGCGATTATCAGTTTTGAAAAATAATTTGATCTCACAGCTGTTACCAAAAGATTAAACTTAAAATCATGATTACAGGTTCGCATGGTGGTAAAGATGTGGATTGTGGTTTTCTGGGTTGGAATGCCATGTAGTCTTGTAGGTTGTTACCATTGTTTCAGAGGAATGTAAAACCTTCATTTTCACTTCATCCCTGAAGATGGTGGTAGTATGTTCTTTCAGAATATTATTAACCATCTACAAAATTGCCCAATGTCACAATCCAGAAGACACAATCCAAAGTACCAGATTATTTTGCATATGTTTGAAAAACATATCCCTTTTTGTGTAATTTCACTTGAAATTATGCACTTTTGTACTATTTATGTTGAGTGAAAATTTGTTTCTTTGCATAAAAGAGAGATATTAAGGCTTCAGTAATGAAGTAACAATTTGGTAATATGTGGGAACTTAAAAAAGTTTCGGGACAGGAGCAATATCTCGTATGCTTTGCCATTTATATGCAGTTGACTTTTCAGCATCTACCGTCTGTCAGCAGTTGTTTGAAACTTTGCTGGAAGCTATCATGTACAACCTTAGAGCAACATGATCTAAGAAGTCACTTGAATGTCCGCTGCAACCTTGAACTGCCTGCATTTTGTTTTGTCCAGATATGTAAACAATTCACAGTAACACGGTACAAGATCAAGGGGTGTGTTTTCTCTTGTGGACTTCTTCATCCTTAGGAATAAACTCATGATGCATGATTCTGTGCCAAGAACATCCATTATTGCCTTCACTTTCCAGTTATCGTGCAAGAACTTTTTGGATCTTCCTGATGGTTGAAACTTTCACATATAGGATTGTAATTTATTTTGCAGAATAGGTCATCACTGCTCCTGGTAAGGTTGTTGTCTTGTTTCTATGGCAGGTCATTGTTCTTAGTACAGTGTGTTTGCAGATGTGGTGCATCTTCATGTTCCTACTAAGGATGGCCTCGGCGCTAGCTACCAGAATTCCCTCCTTCTCGCGAGACATTGTGCATTAATTACCTTCAAGTGATTCACATCCATTCTTGAACCTGCAAAATCCTTTAAATAGTGGCCTTTTTTGGTTTGTTGCCTCATGTAGTCTTATGGCTGTATGCCTGTGGTTTGGAGGAATATGCTGCCCCCGTTTTCAGGGTTGACATATAGGACTGTTCTCTCATAGCTGTGACAACCTAAAATCCTAAAATATAATTTTTTCTCGACTCATGTATGTGTTCTGAAACATTTATCACCAATTTTCACAGTCATTGGCAAAATGAGATGTTAATCCATTGATCGTGGTGATCCATTTCGCCACTTTGAAACCTTTCACGCACTGGGCTCTTATGATACTCACCATGCCTGTTAGTCTAATGCTGTGTGTAGGGACTGTGCATTTCTTGACAAACACAAGCAAGCTACAATTTACCTACCATGATGTTGCTCTGTTCACTTCCGTCCCAAAACTTTTTAAAGCTACCGCATATGTAGTCTTACATTGGAACATACTGATAACATTACACAGTGCATTCCTAGAATGAATAAAAGAAACTATACATTGTAACATCATTAAGAATTATGAGATATTAATGCGGGTAATATCCATTTCAACTTACGAGAAACACAACTTCAAATTAAAAAAATTCATGCTTCAAAAATACGAACCAGTTAAGTGTTACTGTTGAGTTACTGAATCTTTGGATGCCTATGAACTTGGGGCTCAAGTTGCTTAATTTACGACTGCTGTGCCATAGAGCGCAGTTTTGAGTTCCTGTTAGACAGTTGTAAGTATACATGGAGTGCCAGGATATGTAGATAAGAAAGTATTAGAGAAAGTTATTACAGGGAAGAAAAATGTTTCTTACTGGTTGCCAAGAATCATTCACTTGAAAGTGATGTTAAGGCCAACATGCAGCAGCGCCTTTGGAAAGAAATATTTTTATATACCATCTATTCAACATTAATGTAGCACATGTAAGTACTTCAGTTTAATTTAAGTTTTACTTTCTTCAGTAAATGGCCTGATACCTATCATACACAATGGACCACAAGATGTCATGTTAATGAGGATTCCGTACATGTGACGCCTTGAGTTACTATACAGTCCCATTCTCTTGGTTGCTAGAATTGGAGATAGAAACAAAATAATACTGGTGTTTGTGTATATACATATGATTCCCATGGCCCCTTGTTACAGCGAGAAGAGGTGCGATCACACCGTATTTCGGGTAGATGAAGTTTGTTGTGTCATATATTTCTAGTTCGCATAGTGACTGTATATTTTGTTGTCATTTTAAATTTCTCAGTTTGTACGTTTGCATGTTTCTGTTTTATCTGATTGTGTAAAAACTCTGTACATCTGTACATCACGGGTGCTCAAAGTCCTTTCACTCTATGCTAGATTTGATCAAAATAAGCTTGTCATAGATAATATATCTATAAACAGATAGGTTGACAAACGTTTGATATTACAAGCCTCTTTTCCTAATAAAACATTAATCTTAATATTCAACTGTAAATTGTGAGCTATGAAACACAAAATAATTATTATAAAAATAAATATTTTTATCATGTGCTTGGCTATAAAATAAAAACACAAATTAACAAGTGTTAAAAAAAATAGTTGTCATTGTAGCTTGCTCTAACAGAATGTAATTGAAAAACGTTTATCACATGACTGTTTCTCAGTAATTTAGTTCTGCCAAAAGATAAGCAGTGTGCATTATTTTTAAATACTGTGTGTACAAACTTACATTTCTGGCGTGAATCAAATTCACTTGACTTATCGGTCCACTGTCGCTCCATACTCTCTTTGGTTTGAGCCTCTAAACCCTAGAGGAGGAGACCAAGGAGGCACACAGTATATTAAATCAAACCAAACCCTTTCAACTGGAAATGGAGAAAGTGTGGGGAGAAAATTAATAATTTGTTAGTGCTATTAGTTTTACTATCTTGTACATCTGTCAAAGTTATCACCTCTTTGACAACCATTTGTTAGCCCTCCTTGTTGCCAGTTGTATCATTATTTAAACCTCAGTTAGGCTTCTTAAAAGTACAATGGGATGTCTCCAGTGGATATTATAAGACTGGAAACAATTTCAATGTTAAACAGCAGGATGTATGATAGTAATCACAAAGTGAAGTAAGAGGCAGCCATAGTGGGCATAGGCCCCATGATAACTGTGTATCGGGCATGGGATTATGGAAAGCCTGGATTATGTGTGGGGCCAAAGCACATATGCTAAAATTCACACATGCAGGAGTCCTAAAGCACAAGGCCTGGGATACATGCCATGCTGCCTCAAACATGGGATCATTTCAGAATTGTGTGTGCTGTCAACTTGCCATACTCTGACTCCAATTTTTATTTTAAACTTGGTTGTCAAAAAACAAGTGATAACTGTGAGTGATGTGTGTCATGGCCACACTTAACAATAAATAACACATGTAACAGGTGCAGATTGTTACACCTTCACCACATAATGTTCAGGTCTTGTGGTGGTGAACACATTTTATGGGCAAGCACATATTTTGACAGTTCAGGGTGGGGAATGTAGACTCTTTTTGTCAACAGCTTACTTACACTTGCTTCTCTTGGTAAACATGTCATACTTGGATTTCCAAACTTTCTCACTACTCTCTGAACTTAATGTCACCCATCCCTGCGTGAGGACATCAAACACAGTTAAATCAGCACATAGAGTACAAATGTAGTTTTGTTGCCGTTGTCATGATAGCAGACAAACACATCATTGCAAAAGTCTCGCATGGATCATGTCTTTTTATTGGTTTTATCTTACTGTACTCAGGTAATTTTTATGGTGAACTTTATATAATTTTTATATATATATTTTTATTTCCATTTGGAGAACTTAAATGTTGTGGTTATGAACTGTGGTTTTGTCTTTCAAGTCTCCTCTGAAGTTCTTAGATATTCATATTCATATTGAGCTGTGCTTCAGATAGAACAGTTATGTTGTCGCACGTACAACAGTGTTTACTTCAAAGCAAAAATCCCTGTACTGTGCTTGACTGATCCACTTCAAGACATTGCAACAAGCTGTGGAGAGACTGGAAGGAGAAGAATTTTCAGCAGTGGAGCAGCTTGAAACTATTAGGAAATACAGAATAGGCAAGAAAGAATGTTATAAAAGCAAGAATAACAGTGCAGCGCAATGTGTGAGCGTATTTGGAAAGAACTGATTGCCTCATAAAAGATTTTCTATAAAATGCCATAATGATATTACAACTCCTTGAATGTTTGGCACTTGCATAATCTTCCATTCAGCTTATTTATAATGTTTCTTAAATTTGTCATATCCACTGACCTTAAAACAAAGAGCAGTCATCTGGAAATTACAATAATTTACTTCTTAAATTATGAAATATTGATTGGATGGACAGTCTTTTGAAATTTGACAAAAGTACTTCATAGGCAATGTAGCAGAGTGTTTCTACACACTTCATATTGATCACAAAGACCCAATTCTAATTTCACATAGTAATGGACTGTACATAAAATTTGGAACAAAGAAGCTGATGTGTTGATTTTAATTTTTTCAACATGATGGAACTTTCAAGTATCTTTCTGCATTGACGCAGTTTGTATGTCAAACCATTACTTAGATGTTCATTTAGAATATCATGTAATTCTTGAATTTTCAGAGATGATGCAAATTTGTTTCAGGTGCTAGGAGCAAAATTGAACTTTTTCTTCTTTTCGATTTTTACTTACCTTGTCACTGAGGTTAGATTTTAATTTGGTCACATTTGTGAAAGTAGCGTCTTATCTACAATTAATACTATAAATTTGGAACTTTTGAGGTTACTAAATGGTTGACGATGTTGAAGGATTTTAAAATAAAGATATCATTTATGGTTGTACTTCCTAGAACTGGTATCTTGTATAAATAATGAATAATCCTTTGTATAAGTTTTCAAAATACTCTGTTTTGTTTTAATATCTACACTGTTCTTAGATGTAGCATACTCTTACTTACCCCTTCAAAGAGCTTCTTTTTGTCATCATAAGATCTTG